TAGTAGTAGTAGTAGTAGCTGGTCAAGCTTCGAGTTACAGTAGATCTCTTTGACATTCGTGACGTTGATGCCTGTAATGTCTTTCCCAGCCTTCCCATGCCCAATGCATACAGTGACGTTGAAAAATGAATGAAACATGATTACCAAACATCAACGTCGGGTGGTCCTAGATTGTAAGATATCTCACACACGAAGCAGCGTGAATCCCTCCGCACACCAGCATAACCTTCTACAACCACAGATAGATGTCTGAAGCACTGGGCATTGATAACTAAGAGCTATGGAACACCTGTGCCAGGTTCGAAGGCAGGCGAAGCGTCTGCTGCAATGACTCGAGGCGCTCTTCTCAAACAGTCGCTTTAATACACCTATGCGTGTAGATAAAACGAATCAAAATCGATTATTTACTAGTAGATCTACCACACGCCAGGGCTCGATCTCCCGCACTAGTTCAAGTAGGTGTTCATTCATTGCTTGGGAGCACTACCCTCTCTTGTACTGCATGCTGTGATACGATGCAAGTTTAGCAAGTAGTAAAAGCCACTGAAGACTAAGTTCACACACGAATTCGCCGTGAGAACATACATGCACGCGCACAATAACTGCTCGGTCAACACAACCGGTACCCTGATTTGCACCTCGGGCGAACGTTCTGGGCGAACCTTCACTTCTACTTGTTGCTAATAGAGCAATAAGTAAACTCGCTGGCGTTGTGAGTAAACCCGTTCTCAAGTTAACTCCCCGGTACACGCAGACAGCCGCGGATACTATTCCACGACTATCAACTAATTGCCATGACACGATACTCTAGGAGGTGAATCTACACACTAATACTGCGAGTGCTAGTGATGTGCATGACTGCTAAAAATTTTGTGCGGTAACAATACGTTGTTAGTTGTGAACGTGTTACGTATGCACAAACACACTGTACACGGTGTAACATGTCGACAGCTTACAACGACGTTACGTGCGTTACATAGATCCACATGTACGTGCGGCAGCATTCTAAATCAATCAGGTAGTGCAGTGACGGTAAGTCGCTCTCACCTGTCCAAGATGTGCGGTGATCTCGTCGTGTCCCTCCACAATGGACCACACTCACTCCAGATGATCCAAAGACAGCAGCGCAGCTGAGGGCCAGGATAGACCAGTGCTCTCAGATCTCAGATCAGCATCGACTTTGATCTCTCTATCAACTAGCTCTCAACGATTGTCCCACATCTAGTGCTGGTCCTGGTAAGATCCTGCTCTACAATATCAGCACTCCGCTGCTTCCACAAGCAAGCGATTCTCAGACTCCTGCTCCATGATTGCACATAACTGGCAGGTGATTGCTCATTGAGCGTGGCAGCTCAGCAGACAGCAGCAGCAGTGACTTCAGAAGTTCAGTGAAGATACATAAACACACACTCGTCTAGTCTCACGATCAACATGCTGCTACGCGGCGATATTATTGTCACTACATCAGGTCATGCCCTTCCTTCCAGAGCTCACTGAAGGCCATTCTCATTCTGCCCCTGCTCCTATCCTTAGCGCAACCGAACTCTATGAACATGCACGGCTGTTGAACTATAAAAGAGCTGAAGTCGGTACAGCCCATCACGAAGGCATGGGGTGTTTGATTCGGGGTTGAGCTCTCGCGGCCGGCCGATACGGAGGGGTTCTGTTTGCCGTCACTGGCATCAGTAAAAGTCGAGTTGGGAAGGCACATCGCCGTCGATAGCACGGATGTGACGGGGGGAAGGCGACCACACACGCCTAGACTCTGGTGTATGCGTAGGCTAGGCCAAGCTCTGCACGCATCGCGCTGCTGGTGTCTGTGGTCGTGTGGATTCTTGGAGCAGCATGCCGGCTGGGATATGCGGACAGAAGACTCGACTCTCGATCTCACTCTCAGCTGAGAGATCGGCAGCTGGACATGTCGACACGTTCACCCCAGGACATATCACGTGCACGGGTTGTCAACCAACACTCTACCCTTGTCAAGCTGCACAGTATGCAGCAGTCGTTGGACGTCAGGTTGTTACGTCCCAACAACATTGGCTCACTGACAAGATTTCCACACTGTGTCAGTGACAGTGTGTGTGTGTGTATGTGGTTGATTGGTTTCTGACGGGCGGCCTTTTCCATTAGCCCCAAAGTTGCCAAACGCCGCGGATACATGTACACATACATACTAGCTTTCTGAATTCTGGTCCGTGACTGGGAGTGGAAGTAGATCTACGTGTGTGACTGTACAGCACATAGTGTGACAAACTCCAAACTACGTTCTCACGTTGTTACTAGTACTCTGCAGACTGATGTACCACCAGATGGTGTTGAGTTGACTGCTCAGTGAATGGTATTTTCTTCTCTACTCTTTCTGCCGCTGCAACTCTGCTCGGCCACCCTCTCCTCTCTCTTTTCTCCTCTCTTCTCTTTGTCAATGCTCGAGTGAGCTACTAGTACTACGAAACGGAGCCAGCGAACAAGAATGGAGAGGTTAAGATCCACGTTATCTTAAAAAAAAACAACGTGAGCGACCTGCAGCTCACGTCCCGTACATGTAGTAACGATAGTTTGGAGTTTTTAGCCAAATAATATTTGACATGAGCAACAACTAACGTTACGTTACTTTCCGTTCCCCACATTCGCACGCATGCACACTTCCCCGCACGCACACTAGCACACGCATGCGCGTACTTACATACACCCATAGGCCATCTCCAATTCTCCATACACATCTCTATCCGGTTGTGCACTTTCATTTTCTCTCAGCGGTTTTTTTCTTTTCCTTTTTTTCACGTGGACAATCAACCATCAAATGTAACAGAGCTCAAAAGAGACAGAATAGAAGTAAATAAAGCGGAACGGTTAGCACTACATTGCCCTGTACGCGAACTGTTCTACCTGAAGTATTAGTATTTCTATTACGGTATACTGCAACGAATAAAACTATATTCTATAACTAAAGGTGCGCACTCATAATAATCACAACCATAGCATCGAATAGAGTACTAGAAATCCAGAACCCTTCAACTGCCTTGTTGTGACACATGCTCTTAGCGAAAATGATCAATCTGACTGAAGATCTGGTTACAGTATTAATTGCATAATTATTATTGCCTGTGGCTGGGTGTATCTCGATTTAAAATATTTAAACACACGGCGAGGAGACAATTTGATAACCGCAATCAATAAAACTAGCTGAACCGACATTTGTGTACTTTATTCATGCAATGTAAAAACGGTGGAGACGATGTGCAATAAAACGATGAAAATATGAAGAAATGGTGTAGGGAAAAAAATATGGATTCAAACAAGTTTTCGTACAACACTCATCAGGAATCGTCGTTGTACTAAAGGACACTAAAACAAAAATTGAACTATTATAGAAAATCTAAGTTAGAGAAATAACACTAAGAGCAACAACAGTGAAATTTACAAGTGTGAATTTTAACAATCAAAGCGAGAAATGAACAAAGGAGAAAGGAAGGAAAGACAACGTGATAACACATAACAGCAGTACATTACACCTACATGTAGAACATTAACGGCCAAGCTTGGCCGCACTAAACACGACACGTTACTTGAACAATTTCAACCCAATTATACTATCTTTCTGTACACACAAATTAGGCTTATACAGACGCTGATAGATAGCTTCCAACACTTTTAACTGTAGTCCATAACCATGACGACCACGGCACAATACAGTGAACGAAGAGTCGGAATACGAATTGCAACAATCAGGACTAGCTAGCAGATGATTGTACACTGAAGACTTGCTACCACGAAACCTACGCACAACACTAACACTCTCACCGGCATTCTCACCATCACTCCCATCACTGCTCTCCGACTCACTGCTCCCTCCGCCGTCCGTTGAATCCATATTTTTTTCCCTACACCATTTCTTCATATTTTCATCGTTTTATTGCACATCGTCTCCACCGTTTTTACATTGCATGAATAAAGTACACAAATGTCGGTTCAGCTAGTTTTATTGATTGCGGTTATCAAATTATTGCCTGTAACATTATATTTTCTCCCATCCATGAATACATGTACCCAACAACATCCGAGTCCTGATGACATTATGTGGACCATGTACATGTACATGTGCTCTCTGTAGTGGATCGATCACAGCTATTCTGCTCTACAGCATTGTTCCTCGAGATTCTGGGCTTTCTGTTTGTCCTTCTCTATCATCATCCTGAATGGCACAGGTGAAGTAGGCATCCCCGCTTACAGTGCTTATAATAATAATATTTATCACTCCCTAATAGTATTGACTCCCACAGATTTTAGCCATACCTAAAGCAGTCAAATATTCCTGCATATTTCACTCCTTAGGGCTATATTGCCCGCTTATATTTGACTCCTTTTTAGCGATTGAACACAGGCTTTGGCAAGTCGTGATAAATCTAATGCGTACTTGGTCAGTATAGGAAATAAAAGACGAGTAAAAGACCTCGGCTTCGCCTCGGTCTTTTATTTCCTATACTGACCAAGTACTCAGTCAATATTAGATACGTACATGTGCTATAACATACCGACAGTATCCCATTCCGCTGTGTCTCCAGGTCAAACGATTCTGCACTCCTGCGCATGCGTTGTCTTGCCTAGAAAAACTCAGCCTTTTCGACACTGCACTTCGGATATCGGTAAAACTCGCACGCAATGCGTCGAGAGTAGTATCAAGAATGAGTCATCGGGGAAATCTTTGCAATCCTTGCGAAGGGTATGAAGTCGCAAAAGTAAGCCGGGTAGAAATGTGGAACTGAAGTAAAGAAAAACAACTAACGCAATTGACTCCGATCGCAAACAGACGCATTTCCAGATGCGAATTGGCCTGTGCTCGCGAATCGCAAACGTTTCCCGGTCTACAGAGTCTTCATGTCAGAAGCGTCCGCTCAAAAAGCGCCAGGGAATGAACAAGCTGTATGTGATTTCGGGTAATAATTTTACCAACACCATCATGTATACTAGCAGATCAAAGTCTCGCGACAACGAAATCATGACATACGCTGTACATGTACCTGTACGCGCAAACGTCACCAAGCTGCCATAGTAATAAAAAGAAAAGAGGAGGATAAAAAGCAACATCACAGCGTATGAGTAACGATATGGTCTTACACGTATGAGCTACTTGAGTCCCGTACCTAACAAGTTTACAGCTCAGAGGGAGTATAAAAGTACCAGTACTTCACCTACATCTACATCTACATGTAGAGAGCAGAGCTTGCTACTATCAAGAGTACATAACCGGTTATGTACTCTTGCTATTATTCACTTTTAACAACGTGGAGCTTTGAATAAAACAAGTAGACTACATGTAGAGAGCACCATGCTATACGAATATGGAGTAGTGATGTTGACTAGGACTAGAGTCAGTTATACTAATAGCGGGTTGATTGAATAACGCATTCAGTATCGGCATAATATACTTTTAAAATTCAAATACACTGCACAACCCGCCAGCAGGCTGTGTTGTAAAAACCTAACAAAGTGCTCCTCCGTCTAGTACTAGATCACAGTAGAAGCAGCGCCAAGCCATGGCGGAGTGAGGGTGGCAGTGGTGTTAGCGCAAGGCAGCAACAGTGCAGTGCAGCAGCACAGCAGAGCGCTTGTAGTGGTGTTGGTATAAGTGTTGTTGTTGTTGTTGTTTACTATATTTATAGTGGAAATCAAAACAGGCATAATGCCTAATAACATTGGACCCACTGTAGTGCACCACAGTAACAGCGCAGCACCACAGTAACAGCGCAGCACCACAGCAGAGCGCGGCACCACAGCAGAGCACATGTAGCGGTGTTAGTGGATGGCAGCCGTAGCAGTGCAGCGCCACCGCAGAGTGTGGATAGTGGCTCAACACTACGCTCACTCGTATGCGACCAGCCGGAGCTTACGATAGCAGTGGCCCCAGCACACAAGAATATGCTAGCACCTACCCAATATACAATGTAGCCCCATACACCACACGGTCAACGGTCAACGGTAGGACTAGAGGACAATATACTTACCAAGAGATACGCATGAGCTTATCAACTGGTGTACGACCTCATCATTGGACGTCTCATTGCATTGGTCAGAGGCAGCATGACATCACTGCCACGCATAACAATAGGAAGCATGTTGTCATCGAATGAGCACGACATCATCATCCGAGAAAGCATGACGTCACCAGAGAAGACAAATCATGACAGGATAGCGTGGAGTGAGTCATTCATGTGCCGGCTGCATGCACTGACAAGGATCCTGCAAAGAAGGCAGCACACATGCACACCGAACCCATGAATCAAGACGGCGAGCTGCTGCTGCAAGAACAGCAGCACTTTATAAGCAGCAGTATCAAATTCTACTATCAATACCATTGACATTACTACAACCAAGAGTACAGTCAGACCTCGCTTAATCGCACACATCCGTTTTCCACAAAAAATATCCGGATAGGCGAGGGATCCGGATAACTGAACACACACACTGTATATGCATGTGGCATGTCAAGAGGATTGGCATCGTAGATACCGGTACATGTACATGTAGACGGGTCCTATGCAGTACAACTAGCGTGCATACTGCATAGTATGTAAAACAAGCCAGAAAAATGACAAGTGCATGGAACTGAGTGCTATCCGCATGCATCCAGCAGGTCAAGGACCTCATTTGCTTGTACAACTCCCTGATTCTAGCTTCTGCAGGCCACGTGAAACCGGATACGACGAAGCTGTTTGTACACATTTCAATCAGTTTGTACACAAAATCAGGCACCGGTATGCGGATCGCAAGGCCCGGTTATGTTGTATGCGTAACATATGCTGCACATCGGTAACCAGCGATTTTCTTCCGGATGGTGAGGGATCCGGATAAGCGAGGACCGGAAGCGAGGTCTGACTGTACATAACTCCCAAGTGTCCAACTCCAGCCATGGGATCTGCGACGGCAGAACTTCATATCACGTGATGAACCTGTACACATTAGAGAGGTTCCGCACTACGTAAAGTTGAGCAACTTTACGTTAGTGGGCGGGGAAAACCCGTGAATTCGCGAGTTTGCACTCCACTTACGGAAAGTTGTCTACGCAGAGTACGTAGATAGGGCTCTGATAACGTAGCTGGTCCGTAAGTGGATTGGGGTACACATTTATGACTCTCTCCCCAGGTCGATCTGGTCGTACACTGCCGCGTTCGGAGTTGCCAAGGGCAGCTACGTGATTTGAAAACTCCGTATGGCGGAACACAGATGCGCATGCAGTTTACGTAAGACTTTCCGTAGATCGACTACGTTTTTTAACGTAATTACGTTATGCGGAACCTCTCTATTGTTTGCACTCTGTGCATGATAGATACAGGGTTGTACGCAACCCAGCTTTGGATACAACTCTGTTGTGGTCACCTTGCACTGTTTGCCAGCGTAACCTTTTGAACCAAGTCACGTGATGTGAAGTATTGCCGTCGTCGCAGCACAGCATAGAGGCTGTGCAGGCAGTCACACTCTTGGGGGTTATGTAGTCTTGCTACCACTAACACCACTAACACCAGAAGCACAACCAGTACCAGCAGCAACAATGCCACCGCCACCAGTTCCATCATCACCAGCAGCAGCAGCAGCAGCAGCAGCGCACGCATCACCAGTGCTGAGTAGTACATGCACAACAACAACAACAACAACAACAACAACAACCACAACCACCGACAGCAGCAACAGCAGCAGCATTCGAATGTTTTGAGGTCTCGGACCATTGTTGTTCTGACATTCTGCTGATTGTAATACAAACTATCGAGCAGCAGCAGCAGCACTACCACCACCACCACCACAACCAACGACAGCACCAAACCTCACCATGTAGCAGCAGTCCGTCACGACAGGTAGTCGAGATCTTCGGGAATGTCAAATTGCTTGTTCAGCATACTCTCCTGTATGCTGAATTTGTTCTTACACCACGACTTCACGGAGAACACATTGTCTGGCGGCAGAAATCACAAACAAAACCATCACTAAGGAACCGTACATATTTGCCATTATTTGGCACCATATTATTGCAACCGTACCAATTTTTATGAGACATCCCCAAGCGTACAACCCTTCCCTCAAACCGTACACACAATGATGTCATAGTAAAGTTGTTGTGATACCCATGTGTCATAATGGCAGTTTTGCCCAGTGAGCTTACAAATCGCTGTACCCCCCCCCCCCTTCCAAGTGGCTTGTACTGGCCGCCGTCCATGGCGTGACTCTTCGTGTGTGCGTATGTCGAGCACAAGACACACGCTCAAGGAGAGAATTTCTCATCAGTGATCTTCTCATCAGTGGCACTCATTATTGACACTCACCAGTGGTTATTGGTTGGCTGTGAGTTGTGCTGTGTATAAATTCGCTATATTTGTAGGTGTCAGAATTCCCCTAAATATTTTCAACTACAGTCCATTCATAAAAAGCTGAGCGCTGGCTCTGGCGAGCTCCGGTATTCGGTGATTTTTCGTGATTAATTTTTATCATACAGGGGGGCAGTGCTGCGAAATTTGAAACTTGATAAAAGGGTCCAAAAAGGTACCTGAACTGGGGTTCGAACCGCACAATGTGCAAAAGGAGTAAAGCGGCCTGGGTTTACATGGCAGGACACAAACATTCGCCTTCCGAATAAACAAAAAACCCGGAACAAACGGCAGTTGGTGGCACTGGTGAAGCACAAGATCACGTTACACAATGCCTACCTGTCCATCGGTTAGATGCATCCTTCAGCATGTCTGACATGTCGGCTGGGTGTCATGGGGATGGTAGTAGAGAGAAAAGAACACATGCACAAACATCCACGGACATACGCACACACTCACGCACACACACACACACACACGTTCACACACACTCACACGCATTCACACACATGTACAGGAAGGGCACAACAGACCACAATGAGTCACTCGAGGATGACGCACACACAAATTTAAATCTGCTGCGTACTGAAGAGTGCAACAAGATGAACAGGTTTCCCAAGAGGAAGACGGGACAACACTGGCAACACTAAAAGAGTAAAGACAACACACACACACACACACACATACACACACACACGGTTGTTTTTCAAGCGATTGAAATTTCACCTTTTTCCTGCAACACAGCGGGGTCACAGTCATGGTATGCCTGTAATTCTTTCCTCAGCGTGGCATGTTTCTCCTGCTGCCCTGCTAGCTCTGACAGCAGCTCTTTTCTCTTCTCCTAAGCACAGAAACAGCAACAGCAGGAGCACCAGCAGCAGCAGCGGCAGCAACAGCAACAGCAGCAGCGACAAAGACACACACGAACTACAAATTTGAGTTGGTTGGATGGAGAGATTCCACCGCACGACACTTCACGATGGCAGCAAAACCGTGTAAACAAACACAGTACACTGTCACACTTCGTTATCACCATGACTTGTACTGATTCGAGGCCTAGTGGTACGGAAGACCTTCTTGAAATGACAAGTGGCCTCGTCTGTGTGTGTGTGTGGGGGTGGTGGTACCCGTGTTGAAAGAAAAGAAGTAAACTGGATTGTCAGTACCCATTGCATTGGCTGTGTGAAACTGGACATCCTCTACATGTATTCCATGCACACAAGTAGTCTTGCCACTGGTAGGTGACACAAAAGAATGGGGGGGGGGGGGGGGGGGGAGAGGGGGCTACATTTCCCACGCTCAGGTCGCAAGTAACTTGTACTAACCGAGTTCTCTCGGCCAGTTGACATCTTGGCGATGGTGTCGTCCAACGTTGTTCTCTTCTTGCGATACGTTTGCAGGGACTCCTTGGCACGGGCAAGCTTGTTACGCTTCTGTGAGACGCAAATGAGACCGCATACGAGCACCGACAGGAAGAAAAGAAAGCATGCACACGCAGGCACGTGATCCTGCTTGTGTGAAAACGGGTACATTGCATCGGGACGGACAGCTGTACCAACATGTCGGTCATTATCACTAAAGGCAGAAGAGAACAGAGACAACCGGTTCAGTCATTGTTGTAACGCTGCGTTTCATGCACATAGCAAAGCTAAGGCAGTCCTCAGACAACTCTTCTGCCGTTGTGGTATTGCTCCATCCTTGTGCTGTTGAGCACTCTAGGCAATCTTGGAAATCTCGCTATTGTCGGTCAGCATCATGCAACCCATTGATTCCGGAATTCAGTTGGGGCTAGAAACAACATCTGAACAAGCCCCAGTTCAGTGAGTTGCATCAGCTGCATGCAAGCATACTAACTCAGCTGCATGTACAGCAAAATGGCAAATTTTGGCGGGTGAAAACTTTAGCCATTTTGATAATATATAACCCAGTCTGAATTTGCCAGGCAACATTTTAGCGATCAGTGTTTCATGTTAGAAGAGAGGATACTGAAGATTCATGCAAACTCTTGAGCCTGATCTTCAGCGAAAACACTCCTTTCGCTAAAATCGATAAAATTCCACCATCGCTAAGATCAGCCATGTCACAATAAGTACCCGGATGGTGAGCCATGGAAAATATTAAACGGAAACAAGGAAAACGGCGGGGCACAAGTTATGCGTTAGAGTCTGGTGCTACCTTGTGCACGTCTGACTGTTCAAAACCTGGTTTAGTTGGTGGACTCTAACGCATAACTTGTGCCCCACCGTTTTCCTCGTTTCCATTCAACATTTCAGAATAACATTTGCTTTTACCATATACGGTAGGTTTCTCGCAGAAGCACAGCTTCATACGAAAGAGTACAGTTGCGCTCGATGATATCCGACCTAGAGTGCATATTTGGCGCCCTCAACTTGCACGCCCTTGACGCCCTGGAAGTGACATGAATGCGTCTGGACGTACTCATGTACAAATACAGTGATGTAATTGGAACTGGTCCAGGGCACCAGCTTTGCACTTTTGGGTTGGATTTCAGTGAGCGCAACTGTAGATAAACAAGAGTGTGCAACTCGCGGATGGGTTGGCCAACGGCGGAAATTTTCGTGAACGTAATCTTTTCTAAGTACGACGCACGCGCTGCGAGTCTTTTGGAAATTTTTGCCTCGTGCACTTGGTCGGGCTTTACATTACAAGGTTAGTGCCCAGCACGTGCTCTCACACTGCTCTGCGGCAAAATGCGCGTGCTCTGTACAACACGCGTCATGTTTTCTGAAAAAGGTGACGTCGACAAAAAATTCCTGTGGGCCGGGGTATCTGCAGATTGTGCAGAAGAGGTGCGGAGTTGCACACTCTTGTTTATCTACTCTTGTTCGTACCAATGACATCTCTGCCTTAGAGCAGAAACCAGAGTAAGACGAATAATACTTAGCCTTGTGGACTGCTAAAAAGCGTAGTTTTTTCACCCATTCCAATCACATTTCTGAAGAAGCCGAAGGCTGCGTTTGGTTGGTCACGTTCCCAAATGGGAACTCTCGGAATCATTTGGAAAACCAACCCATCTCACTCGGAATCATTCTTGCCCGTTCGGTTAGTCAAAGAAGTGCGTTAGGTCGGTCCCATTCCAGCATGGGAATCACTTGGAATCGCTCAGAATGATTCCATGGCGGAATGCTTGTTCCACCTAGCATTCTCATTCCGCCATCAAATAGGATAATGCCGAACACTGGGAAGGCTTTCTACTGGTCAGAGAGAAGCTGACCAAGGATTTTCTGGCGATATATTCGCAGCACCAGGAGAGATCCTCCAATGTGAACTTCAAGATATGTTCTCTGTGGCAGAAAATTGCCAGGCTGCTTTGAAAGAGCGACCGTGATCGTCATGTTTGGCCTAGTGACAAGCAATGGAATAACCGGTTCAAATCGCTCAAGTCCAGTAGCCAGAAGTATCTCGACTCGACGAGTTGAAGGAGACAGGAGTTGGCAAGAAGAGGAGGGAGCCACCGTTCCAAAAGGAGATCATGGATTTGATCGGGAACAGAAGTAGCGTTGTGCCCCACTCACTTGCCAGCGCTGGGAGCATCGTTTCGTCGATTTGCTCGTCTCAACCAGTGACACCTCCTCCACCCGCTGTCCAATATGACGGTAAGAGCCAGTGAGCTCCAGTGTAGGGAGGAAACAATTTGCTATAAGAACTATCTTGAATGATCAATGATTTTAAGATGAATGGTATTTACTCGTAAGTGGATGTATTGTATGTAGTTAGCAGCTGCACATGAAGAAAGGATAGGAAAGAGAAACCCGCCATTACCCAGTTCATTCTGTGGACAACCACACCGGGTTGTTTATGAGAATTCTTCACCAGGATAGGGAAGAAGATGTGCGTGTTCTTGCCGACGACCGTAGCACTGTATTGCCACTGAAACTGGACAACATTGGAGGAAGTGGAATGCCGATGATTCCGTTTGATGATCGTCTTCCATTCCCCATATTGTGCTCGTCAGCTTTGGACACATTCATATCGCGTTTGCGGCGCAAACGAAGATGTTTCGGGCAGCACCTCGTGGTGATGGAGCGTGCGAGCACGGGGGACATTGCGCACTGTTGGTCATGTTTTCGCTGACTGCAAAGATATGCAGTATGTGGCTAATTGTACCATTTCCCCCTACCCCTGCATGCAATAGTGATACACATTTCATAACCGCCATGTAGCGCCGCACACACAGCATAACCTCCGTGCGGCTCCGGTTCAAAAAGGATGCTTTTTCTTCCGCCTGCACCAGATGACTGGGCCCAGGCTGCAGCACCAGGACATACAACTGCGCAGGGCTGCGAGGCCAGGGAAGAGGCTAGCGACGACGCTCCAGTATCTGGCCCACAGCCTGTCCTTCTCACAACTCGTCCTGCAGCCTGATGTACGAGACCGGGAAGTCTACGACAGTAGGCATAGTCCATGAGAAAATAGCAGTGCTCAAGGATTTGTTGGTGTCGTCACGGATTATCTTCCCGCAGAACAAAGTCCTGGATCGCGTCAAGGAAGGGTTTAAGGACCTTTGTGGCTCCACACAATGATTATGTGGGGGAGCCATAGATGGGACTTTTATGAAGATGCTAAAACCATTAATTTTGTTAACGGGGATAGCTATTGGTGCTACAAGCAGTATACTGTGATACTAATTCTTACTGCCGTGGATGTCAGAGGCCATTTCACGTATGTGAACACGGGGAGTCCTTGACATGTCGAAGATGCTGCTGTAGAAATTGCTCAATGTCTTTTTTCTAGTTGTGACGACATTCCCGAGGCTGTCTTCGTCTAGTCGCGTGCATGTGTTATATGAGCATGCACGAAGAGTTGTAGTAGAAAGTCTTCTTGTTCGTCCCGTTGAAGCGGTCAGCTTTTCCGTCATGTCCAAGGTTAATTGTTCGTCAATAATATAATGTGAAGGCAAGAGTCCATACTCCCACAGAGTGCGCAACTGGGATGGGATTGTGGGACGGCGTAATCCGTGATGTACGTCATCTTTTAGGTCGGACTTGTGTCACTCCGTCGACGCGGTCCACCACAAGCACACTTTCCCTACTCATGATGTCACACTATGACGTGCAGCATGGATTTCGCCGTCCCAGATCTGATCAGTGAAGTTGCGCACTCTGGGGGACTATGGACTCTTGGTGAAAGATAACTACTACTTATCGTTTGTGTCCTGCATCTGGAATGGCAGAGTGATTCAGTACGAGGTGAATTGCTATTTCTGGACATTGTACATTTCTGGACATTTCGGGTAAAATAATATTTCGTCGCGTGTAGAGTCAAGTCAGTCAGGTTGATGAAGTTTTTTCTTGTTGTAGTTGACAGCTGGGCTGTTGTAGTTTCTCCTCGTGTCGGTGCCTTGTTGATAGCCTTTTCTTGGGAGGCATTTCAACGAGTTTTGTGGTACTATGTCGCATGAGAATTTTGAATTTTGAGTAAAATAAGAAGTAATGGACGAATCGTTGGCTTCCCCATGTGCACTCCACTTCAGACGCTGTATAGTCTTGGACCTGTTGGCTGGAAGTGTGAAGAGGCCAACTGCAGTCCACCAATAGAAAAAATAACAAAAATGGTGGAGTATAGGATGCCTATTGACGCTATTTTACTTTCATGTCCAGAATTCCATACACTGAAATTTAGGCCAAAAAATTGGCCCGTCGAAAACATCCTGCTATAAAGTCTCTGGGATCACAGCATGAGCAATTGTCACATATTTGGAAAGATGAAGGATTAGGCCATACAATAGATACAAAAAGATATGAAAAATGTAAAACACACGGCCAGTGGGCCTTTATTTTATTTTCGTGTCCAAAAATTGCTATTCACCTCGTACATCTCTTTCATAATTACTTCTTCGAAGTAAGTATGAAATTGAAGACCCCACTGCAGCTGTACTTGTGGTTGACTCATGTGGCAGTAAAGACACAGCTGACGAAATGGCAGTGAATACACACGCCTGAGCAGGAGAGCGCTGTGCCACAGTGTACCTGTGCAGCGTAGAGAGTGTGCGTGGGCAGGCATGACCATACAGCGCTGGCAACTGAAATCCGACCCCGGAGCGGCGGTGCGCTCACATCGCAAAGACCCAACACGGGATGATAAAACTACCTACGAAATAGGGCCAGCTAGAATGTGGACGCACCGCTAAGGGGTCGGATTTCAGTGGCCAGCACTGTACTAAATACTGTAATTTCACAAGTTTTCGGTGTACTTTTATTTTCGGTACTTTCGGTGCGTCTGTTCCATACCTAAAATTTCAATACACCGAACAAACACTAACACACATACACCAATAGGGAACTGCTTCTCTGCACCGAAAATCTCTGTTCACCTAACCTAGCTGTTTGCTCTCATACCGAAAAAATTGAGCACCGAAAATTTCTGAAATTAGAGTACCACGTGTGTCTATACAGCCATATGAGTCAAGCATCTATTTTGTACCTAAACATTTCAAGAGCCACACAAGCACTGGCACACATCATCCAATAGGGAACTGCTTCTCTGTACCTAAAATTTCTGTTCACCCAACCAGGTCTTTTGTCTACATACCTAAGTTTTTCAGTACCTAAATATTCTGAAATCAGAGTACCTCAGCTACATATCACCGATTTCTACGTCCCATACTGACGATACAGGTACATTGTAGTGAAGTTGTACACTCATATCTCGTTTATCCGGGCGGTCCAGGATCGGGCACTGCCCGTAATATTGAAATGTCCGTAACTCCGAATCCCATACATTTTGATGCGGAAAGGCCGTAGATATGGCATACGGCGTCACCATTTCCACAAAAGTGACAAGAGTAGTCATAATTATTCCCATTGCAGCTCGTCCAACGGGTGCCCGGTAGACCGAAATACCAGTAACGTCGGTGTCCGGATAGCCGAGGTATGAGTGTCACTCACATTGTCGTCTGCATCATTGCTGTTGCTTTTCTTTTGTATACGGCGAATGGCTACCCTCAGGTACTGCCCCGGTCTTGTCAGTGCTGGCAGGCGTTTCACCCTGCTGTAAAGAAAACCTCTCCCTGCCTAGATGGACCCGTAAAAAAACTGGACCCAAAAGTCGGCGTTATCACTACTCCAGCCTGGCCGTGGTTGTCCCGTATGGTCATATGATAGTAAATCGGCCATGTTGGTTCAACTGTCCGCATGCCATGATCGCTTTCCGAACAAATTTAGTCACATGACAATGATGTGAAACCACTCTATGGACCCATTGCGCAATGACATAATTTGTACCATAAACACTCTTCACGGCCACCTGGCCTGGTTTTTTAAATTTATTTCACCAGGGGACGTACCCAGACTCTCCCCCCCCCCCCCCCCCCCGGCCGTTCAGGCGAACAGGGTCGATCTAAAATGGACTCCGACGCCTATGTTACAGTTGGGATAAAATATGAGCAACTAACAGCAGTACGTGCAAGTGTGCCTACGTACAGCAGTGGCAGCCTTGCTGGGAAGAGCCCAGAAATAGTTAGAAGTGCCGATGCGATCCGTATCCACCATAGCATCGTCCACTAAGCTCTGCAGAACATCCTTGACGCTCTGCGTGGCTACAGTGACAGGATAAAAGAAGAAGTGAGGCGAGAGAGAGAGAGAGAGAGAGAGAGAGAGAGAGAGAGAGAGAGAGAGAGAGAGAGAGAGAGAGAGAGAGAGAGAGAGAGAAAGAGAGAGGGAGGGAGGGAGAGAGAGAGAGAGACAGACAAGCAGAGACAACAATATTGGGCATCGCCACTGATAATCCGACAGCAACCACGCAACACAACATATGCATACTGGTTGAAACCGATCCAAAAACACCACTCCTGCACCAGCATGCCCACTTTGGGTGCGAGAACCGACCGTCATCAACGTTACAAATGTGATTACAAGTACAAACAGCAGCAACGGGACAGTAGGGGGATATGCAAGGCAAAATTGCAGTGGCGCATTTACACAGACACACTTACTGATTCCTTTCTCTTTCGGAGCCATCTTCTCCAGCTCCTTCAGCTGGAAGAAATCTTTCTGCAAACAGACACGGAAACACGAGCAACAAAATTCAATACAGTGGTGCAGGTACATGTGCACTTACCCTTCCAAACACAATGAACACAGGAACAAAGTAAACATCTGAAGTACACTCAGACCTCGCTTAAAACCGCACACATCCGTTTTCCACAAAAAATATCCGGATAGGCGAGGGAACTGGATAATCGAACACCGGTTACGTTGGATGCATCACGTGTGCTGCAAATCTGTAAGCAGCTATTTTTTTCCGGATGGTGAGGGATCCGGATAAAAGAGGACCGGATAAGCAGCGAGGTCTGAATGTACAGAGAAACCTCAGTAGAGTGAAGGAGAGTCCTTTCCAGGCACACCCCGGCATAGCTACAGGCTGTCCAACAACCTGCGCTCGGGAATATGTCAAGCCAGACTTTTGACACACACACACGCGCACACACACGCGCACACACGCACACACACACACACACGAACACAATGTAATCACCTTCTCAGTTCACACGCAATGGACTTACTTTTTCAAAAAGCAACTGCAAGAGACGCTTCCTCTTCTCCTCCACGCTGAGGCCATGTTTAGGCTGCGTTCCAAACACCAGCAGGAGAGTCAAAATCAGCACATTAGTAATGTAACACAGTGGGCTGAGGTACACTGGCAACGGTAATATGTTACGTTATTTGTACATATGAGTTGTCTGATGATTGCCTAGCGGCATGAAACTCAGAGTTACAACCAACCTGAACGTCCTCCGCTCAGTCTGCTATGTACTAAGCTCTGTCTCTGACATTGAGCACTCTCTGCAGCTCGGGGATCAACGGATTTAGGGGTCGTCCATAAATACCGAACTTTTTTCACAAAACAAAATAATTTCGTTATGGGGTGGGAGGGGGTTGACCAATTTCGTTTCAGAAAACATTGATTCATGTGCATGGCCGTTGTATATGCATGCATGTCAGCATTGTTTACGCTCTGACGGGGAGGGAGGGGTTGTGTCTAAACTAAAATAATTCGTTTGGTGAAAAAAGTTCGATATTTACGGACGGCCCCTTATTATGTTATTTGAATAGGAAATTTCACATCACGTTCTTTCCTGAACATGTACAATACAGCCAGTATGAAAATTAATGTTGATTCAGCGCTGGCTACAATCTACTTCGCTTCAACGGGTAATTTGGATCTCCGAAAGAGTGGCAGGCGTCTTGATTGTTGTTGTTGTATACTTTATTTATAGTGGAAATCAAAACAGGCAAAATGCCTAATAATATTGGACCCACTTTCTTGGGGCACAACGCATAGCTACGGACCTACTACTACCGACAGAGGGCTTGTAGGGGTGTGTTTGATGACGACTGTACTAGTACCTATTCTGGATCGGCCAGAAGTAGTCTGCTTGCTCCGGCCTCGAGGCCTGAGCGGTTTTATTTCTTTTCTCAGTGAACCCTGGCGGGAACATTCAATGATTGTGGTCCGAAAATGATCGCATGCATACGTACGTGTACACCTTTGTACCCGCACAAAGTCAGCATCTGGACTCGTACACATCTGGACGACTGCAACCAAGTAAGCTTACACAGTGGCACTGTTCACATATGCGGTAAATGCGCTCTATTTCCGGAGTAGCGTTTGGTTAGCATGATGCTGCTCCTTGGCTTGTACACCAGCTGTTCAATCCTGTTCCAGATCGCACCAACCCTACATGTAGGCTGTAACCAGGGAGTAGTACAATACCATTTATTGTACTACTGTAAATATACAAAATTTCGGCACTTCACGATTTTTGACATTTTGGTGGCGATTTATTTTCGGCGTGGGGTAGAGGGCATGGTATAGTGCGACAGATGCTGTGAAAAATGTCATCGGCGTTTTAATTTAGGCGTTTTGGGTCGGTGCCGAATATAGCCGAAATTAAATAGCTGCCGGAAATTTGTATATTTACAGTACTCCCTGGCTGTAACTGGTGGATGTAGAATATCCGCTGTTCGATTTGGTTTAGAATTCCATGTTCCCACTCACAGGGCATTTCAAAAAGGTCACGCGGTAAAACCGTATTAAAACTAGTTGCGCGACCCGCATGTTTGCGTATCGTTTTGCAAACGTAGCCTGTAAAACATTCATTCACCACGCACAGTGCTCAATGGAGTTGCTGGGCTGAAGTACAGTTGTATTGATTTAACCCTTTCACTGCCAGCTGACCACTCAAGGTGACAAGGCGCTCCCTGCCAGGCTGTCAGCTGAGCTGTACACCCCCTCCCTGCCAGGCACTTTTTGCCTCCAGCTCGAAAAATCGAAAGGCCAACTTCTCATGGATTTTTTGGTACTTTCTGTACGGAATATCGCTTTCCAAAGTATACATCGTAGGTAGACAACTCATAAAGAAAGCCATTGCCGTAGAAAAAAATCGCAAAATCCGAAGTACAACCGTGCTGGGCGCTCTAGCGCCAGCCGCTGTGCAAAAATGCATGTCATGTCATGCGAAAGTGCGCCGTGCGCCGCATGCGCTACATACACTATGTACACGATCGGCCCGGACACTCGCGAAGTAAAGTTAGTTGTTGTTGTTTTGGAGAGAGAAGCAGATCCTTTTTTTGTTAGCTGGGATTGAAAGATCTGCCAGTGGACCGGAGAGCTACAACACTGGAAGCAGAAGAGATGGCGTGCGGAATGTTCTCGGTCTTCGTGGCAACAGGACTTCAGTTGCGAGAGACTTTCGTCCTGTTGTTGCGGACGAAATTCTAGTTGTTGCCACCAGAAAACTCGGAGAACGAAACGATCGTAAGTCGTTTGGTGAAGCAGATCGTGTCGGTGAACAGCTGCGGAATGTTCTGCCGCCATGGTGGTCGTTTGTTCTCCTGACTAGCAGCAGTCCGAATACATTTCGACTTCGGAGAGTGAAGCGCTTCCCTGTTCCGTTGACAAGCGTGGCGTTCGCGGGTGTAATGCACTTTCGCATCAGCTTGCAGTAGATCGTCAGGTATTGAGCTTGAGGTAGGTGTCGTTGTAGAAAGAATATAATTATGTTGTAGCTGACATACCTGTAGTGTCTCTTGACTGTGCTGGTCGCCATTGTAACGTGGTAGTTCTTGGAAAAGTTTAGTTCTGGACTCGGTGAGCGCCGCCAGCGCTGTTTCCGCCAAGTTTGCAGTGAATGCGTCCGTGAGGAATCCGTCGTGTGGTTGTCTCTACCCGTGACTCCAACCGCCTATCGCAATGGATAGCCGCCTGGAGTCTTGGGCAATGGCTAGGCATCAAGTCTGAACCAAATGTCATGCTCCTTGCAATGAAAGTTGACGGGAAAGAGAAAAAAACTGGCACCGACTCAGCAAGGTGGAAGTGCGTGAGAACCGATTTCTTCCGCGCCGCTCGGCTAAAAATCAGATGCGCATTTTCAACGACGCTGGTTCGATTTTTTTCAAATGGCAACCCATGCTTCTGGCAGCGTATTTCGATGGGTATGGACCTCTTCTAGGGCCTAGTGGCCCTCTACCACGGCTAAACATCTCCAATAGTCAAAAATAGTGGCCCAAACTGGGTGAAGTCTGCCTGTCGACAAAAGTCGACGGTGGCACTGGGGACTGCATGTTTGCTTGTCGACTTTCGTCGACAGTGGCACTCAGAGTGCATGAATGCGCTGTCGACTTTCGTCGACAGTGGCAGTGAAAGGGCTAATGTGTGAACAATAGGGAGGTTCCGGAGTACGATTTTTCGTGCCAAAATTTTTATACGTAGTTTTCGAGCAGTGAAATGTTCCGGAGTACGGAACTTATGTGTTTGCCGTCATTGCCTAGGTTACGATTGCAAACACGTCACATTCTCGCGCTATGCCTTTATACTTTGAAAATTTTGTACCGAAATCAAAACTTCCCGCGGAAAATCGATGTTTCTCGTGCCAAATTTGTACGCGAAAAATCTTTCTGCACCCGATGACGCAAAATCTCCATACGAAACATGGTTCGTATCAGCAAGAGTAGATAAACAAGAGTGTGCAACTCCAGCTATGGGGTCTGCGACGGCAGAACTTCACATCACGTGATGAACCCGTGCACTCTAGTGCATGATAGATACTGGGTTGTACGCAGCCCAGCTTTGGGTACAACTCTCTTGTGGTCACTTTGCACTGTTTGCCAGCATAACCTTTTGAACCATGTCACGTGATGTGAAGTTCTGCCGTCGCAGCACAGCATAGAGGTTGTGCAGGCAGTTGCACACTCTTGGTTATGTACTCTTGGTATCAGGGAGTGGTATTTTACGACTCCCTGGTTCGTATGAAAGCCAGTCCACACGGATTCTCCGTGCCGAAAAATCGTATGGAGCACCCCGGAAAATCGTACCCCGGAACCTCTCTAATGTGTGAATAGGCCTTATGCACATTGTACAGATGCACGAAATCCGTATAATCTTGTAGAATCCCGTAGACCCGGTTGGGTGTTGAATGTGCAGGACCCTATTGTGTTTACTGCTATTTCCACTATGAAATGGGCCATGAAGGCATTTCATACGAAATCTTTTTCCGGCAGAGATCTAGCTAGTCGTTAGTTCAATCCCAAAGTGAAGAAGGCTTGAAAAGTGATCGTTTGCCATGAATTGTGAGGCTAAATGGGTCAAACGCGCATGTATAGCACACAATGAACACCCAACCGGGTATGTACACACCTACGGCCCTAGTACAGAACTTCGTACATCTGTACAATGTGCATAAGGACTATGGCTGCGATGCAGCGTGCGAATTCTTGCAAACTGGAAGTACTGTGGATGATTTCAATACGGTTCTCCGGCCACTCACCATAGTGGACTGCTCGCAAAGGCACTCTCTCCAGGTAAAGCCAGTCGGGAAGGAATACAATATTTTCCTGGAGATCCAACACCGTCTGGGCTAGCTATCTTCCGCAAAGCCAGCGCCTGATTACCACCGTCTCGAAGTATTTACTCCGTGAGCCCTGCGATTAATTTTTGCTCAAGCTCTAGGTCAGACCGGTCAACCAGGGCCTTGCTTTCTCCAACGATTGTACAAGTCGTGTACCTTCTTCTCGAGAAAGAGTGACAGAAGCCAAAACAAGATGCAGGGTACGGGAAAAGCTACAAATCAAAACTGCACGCGGGCGAATGATCAGAGACAGAGCTGAGTCGACTAGGAAAAAAAAAACTACATTGTAGTCGACGTGTCTCCACTTGTTTTTGTTTTGAACTTTTCACCATTTCCCGCCGTATTTAATGTCATTCCGACGATCGCGATGTTTCGCGAGAAAAAAACAAAGGTAAGTGCAGTGATGCGTGCGCGTGCCGCCTAGAATCCGCCAGGCCGTATCGTGTTCACCCGTATACCCGAGTACTCTACGCACCGCGGTACGGATCACGTCAATCAATCGACGAATCGCGAAGAGGGTTTTTTATTGCAGTCTTTATTATTTCGTCCAGAGTTGTGCCCCTGCCAGTGCCCCATTCCTTCTTGTCACACTCATCGAGGGCGTGCTGGGCAGCACAGCCCGAATGTTGGCAAAACTATGCAAGGCTTTGTACTGTGAGAATTTCTCTGCTCGGGCTTGGCGGAGGGTGCATGGATGTGCTTTTTCAATTATCTAAAATAATTCCTGTAGACAATTGACGTGCACACACACGTGGCCTGCAGCTATTTTTTTAATAATTTTTGAATTATTCTTCTGTTCACATCGCACGCGCCGATCACCATTGCATTCCGCTGAGGCTTGACGTGATCCTGGCAGCTGGTTGTGCGACACGAACGACTGTAGTGGCGTGTGGTCGGCGTCGAGCCCAAGGTTTATGTGGCTGAACTGGTGTAGAATTTAATTGGAAATAGTTGCTCTACATCGTGAGGTGCACCAGCTCTCTGGAACAGCTGAATAAAACATAGTCACTTCAGGAAAGAATTTGTTTGCGCTCCACAGAGCAGGCAGTTTCCAAACCTCTGGAGCCCTTCTGCACCTAGCCCTAGTACTTCCTGATGTTCCCGATGTACAGGAGGATGCTGCGCGTGGTACGTACGCAGGTCTGCTTCTGCCGGAGCAGCCTGACGCAGGTGCTGTGCGTGAGCGTGTTTGGCACTATGCTGCTGATCGGCCTGGTGATGATGTACCGCACGCCGCCGCACGCCAAAACGGCGGCCACCATCGAGGACTTCATGAAACTGGTGGTGACGACGGCTAGACCCGAGCCGCTAGCACAGGCAGCAGCGCACGAGGCAGCACATGTAGCCCCCGCCGAAGCGGAAGAAACGCAGACGCCGGAGCGGCCCATTCGAGTAAGCTCGGAGCCGGCGCTGACGTTCTCCGACGACGGCGAGCAGTTCCTTCTCGCCGGCAAGCCATTCCGCATTCTCAGCGGCGAGCTGCACTACTTCCGCGTGGTGCCCGAGTACTGGCGCGATCGCCTGGAGCGCCTGAAGGCCGGCGGACTGAACACGGTGAGCACGTACGTGGCGTGGAACCTGCACGAGCCGCACCCGGAGCGGTTTGACTTCACGCGCGACACGCGCACCGACCTGGTGCGCTTCATCCGCACGGCGCACGAGCTGGGGCTGTACGTGATGCTGCGGCCGGGCCCGTACATCTGCGCCGAGTGGGAGTTTGGCGGCCTGCCGGGATGGCTGCTGCGAACCAACGCCGGGCAGCTGCGCACGAACGGCGCCTGGTACATGCGCGCCGTCAAGCGCTACCTGGCCGCGCTCTACAAGCAGGTGTACGCGCTGCAGCACAGCTACGGCGGGCCGATCATAGCTGTTCAACTGGAGAACGAGTACGGCACGTTTGGAAACAGCCGCTCATACCTGGAGGCACTGAAGGATGCGGCAGTGCAAGGTATAGTGAACGTGTGTGTGTGTGTGTGTGTGTGTGTGTGTCACTTCAATCAGCTGTGTGGTGGATACCAGGCTAAATATAGTGGCGGTCAATTCATCAGCCTTGCAAGCTGTTGAATGGTGTAATCCCAGCACAAGTTGCTATGTCCAACATAGCTGTTCGCTATCATCGCTTCCGCGATGGGCAGGTCTGAGGTGTACGTGCGCGTGGCGGGTCGGTGTGAGAATGTGTGTGTGTGTGTGTGTGCGCGTTTGGGCGTCCGTATACCCGTGTGTGGTCATGCCGTATACCTGGGCGTGGGTCGGTGTGAGAGTGTCCGCGTTCGGGCGTGTGCGAGTGTGTACCTGAGTGTGGGTATGAGTGCGCGAGTGTGCACGGTTGGGTGTGGTGTAGTACCGTATGTGCTCATGCATGTGTGGCCAGAAAAGTAGCTGCTTTGTGGCGCAGCTATTATTGATTATTACCTAACTTGCTCGGGGATACATTAGAAGTGCAAGAAGCATCATATCTTGGAGACCATAATTGCTGAAGATCATGCTCCGGTGAGAATACATTACATGACGTTCAGTAAAGTAGCGCCAGAGCAGCCCAACACCACCAGCAATCACCGCCAGTACTTTGAGCACCACCTGCACAACGACCTGCACAGCCACCGCCACCATACGGTCATGTTTTGGAGATGGCATGGATGAGTGTGTCCTGTCTAGAGGATGTGTGTATGGGGGGGGGGGGGGGGCACACATGCTTATACCGTAAAATCCCGCCAGAGCGCCCCTACCTCCGCCACCCTTCAAGTAGGGCCAGGTGGGGAGGGGCGGATGGGCGAGTCCTACTTACCGCATTCAATACTACATGAAAAAGTACGAAAACTGTTCGTGCATCTCGTTCACCGACCAAAGGTTGTGAGCCAGGAGTCGTACAGACCCATCGAAACTAAGGGTTTGTGCGATCCCTGGTCAAGAGGGTGGGCACTGTTGTGTACATTTCCAACCGGGTCGAGCACTCGTCTGCAGTACAGTACGGCATCACTGAGTGATATGAGGATACAATCAATCACTTCCCGGACAAAAAGTCAGGGAGGGGTGCATGGGAGAGACGGGGCGCTCTGGCGGGATTCTACAGTACTGGTGTTATACAGCACGGTCATGCAGAAAGAAGTATAGGTCTATGTATGCATGGCATGCTCATTTCTTCATTCACAGCTTTTTCGGCACTGTTGCTGCTGCTGGTGCTGCTGCTGTGCTGCTGCTGCTGTTGCTGCTGCTGCTGTTGCTGCTGCTGGTGCTGCTGCTGGTGCTGCTGGTGCTGCTGTTGCTGCTGCTGTTGCTGCTGCTGTTGCTGCTGCTGTTGCTGCTGCTGCTGGTGGTGTTTGCTTGTGTCCCGTGAACAGGTGGCATAGTGGAGCTACTGTACAAGTGCGACGATCACAACGGCCTGCCCAAGGGTCTGGAGCAGCTGCCCGGCGTTCTGCAGACCGTCAACGGCAACGATCGCGTGCGCTGGCACATCACGCAGCTGCGCAAGAACCAGCAGAAGAAGTCGCCGATCTTCGTCGCCGAGCTCTGGACCGGCTGGTTCACGCTCTTCTCCGGCGACTTCAGCACCAAGCACCAGAACGAGATTGTGGGCGCCACCAAGCAGTGGCTCAAGGCGGGCGCGTCCATTAACTACTACATGTGGCACGGCGGCAGCGACTTCTATCACAACGGCGCCATCAACGGGCCGTACCGCGTGATGACGTCGTCGTACGACTATGACGCGCCCGTCTCGGAGAACGGCACCCTGACGCCGAAGTTCTACGCGCTGCGCGACGCACTCAAGAGCGTGCTGGGCGAGCAGCAGGTCAAGTTTGGTCGCATTCCGGACGACATCCCCGTCAAGGCGTACGGCACTGTGCCCATGACGTCGTTCATGCCGCTGTCGCAGCTGGTGCAGGTGGCGTCCGCGCCCATCGAGATGGAGCAGGTGTGCAGCATGGAGGAGCTGCCGGTGAACGATAACACGGGCCAGGTGATGGGCTTCACTCTCTATCGGCATGTCATGCGCGAGCGCCCGCTCACCAACCAGGTGGTGAGCATCAGCGGATTAGCAGACTTTGGCGTGGTGATGCTCGACGGCAAGGTGCTCGGGCAGGTCAATCAGCAGTACGACTCCGGCTCCGCTTCCTTCACGCTGTCCGTGTCGCAGATGAGCAGCAAGCCGACGCTGGAGATCCTAGTCGGCTCCACGGGCCGTAACAACTATCTCCCCGATGGCACGGAGAAGAAGGGCCTGCTGTGGCCCATCTACCTGAACTCCGAGCGTATCTCCGACTGGACTGTGTTCCCGATGGAGTTTGACGCGCCGTTCATACACCGCGTGCTCAGCAGAGAGTCTGCGTTTACCGCCGTGGCAGATTCCAAAGTGGCTGCCAGTCCTGCCGTCCTGCGCGGCATGCTGACCATCACGGAGCCGCCGTGCGACACGTTCGTTCGTATGACCGGCTTCGGACGCGGACTGCTGATCGTCAACGGCCTGGTGCTGGGCCGCTACTGGGACGCGGGACCGCAGCGCACGCTCTACCTGCCCGCCCCGATGCTGCGCGAGGGAGAGAACACGTTCCTGATCATGGAGCTGATGGACACGCCGGCTGTGCCGCGCATCGAACTCGTGCAGAAAGCCGATCTGGGTCGCTTCGGAGTCTAATAATCATAAAACTAGCTGATGTTAATTATTAGCAGTCAGCTGTGTGTCGTCCGTAGAGACTACCTCCGTAGCTCTTGACCCCGGTGACGGTAGTCATGTGCCGGTGTTGTTGCAGCATCGCAGCCACCACCGCCGCTGCCGCCAACGCCGTTTCTTTGGCATGACGGCCCGCTTGAATCATTGAGTAGCAGAGTACAGGGTTGCTACGTGGTTTGTCGTCGATGCCGTGCGCGTCGTTTTGCTTGCTCAGTACGCGAGAAACAGCGTTTGTGCCCGCCCTTGATACCGCAGCTGCTGCTGTCGCTGTTGCAGCTGTCAGCTGGGTCGCGGTGAGAAAGCGTGTGCACGCGTGTGTGTGTGTGTGTGTGTGTGTGTGTGTGTGTGTGTGTGTGTGTGTGTGTGCAGTGTGGCATGCGCCGTCCAACCCGTTGTGAACTGCAACGTGGGTAGCGAGTGTTGCTGAACGGGTGCGTGATGCTGATGGTGGTGGTACCGAGACGGATGCATGTCGCAATGCTTAACCCCGCTCGCTCACGAACAGACGGGCCCCCGCGTATTTCACACGCACTGCACTGCACGCACTATCTCTAGACACAGCCCACTATGGTCTGACAAAAGATTTCTCACTACTGGACCGTTTGTCCGTGCCCCCCCCCCCCCCTCCCCTCCTGGACCAGTTTGCCGAGGGTATTCTTGTTGTGACTTTACTTGCCATGAATACATTGGATTGGCCTTACTACATCAGCTAGAACTATGGTTTACTTACTCACTGTACCATGAGTGGACGCACAGGCATGTGTACAACATACATGCAGCGAGGAAAATGCTGTGCTACTCTAGACTGCATTGCTGAACGGAGCTGCTCCGACTTCCGGAACTTTTTAACGAAATATCCTGCATGTGCCTGCACGTGTGTGCCTGCACTACCATGCTATGCATATCGCATACGCACGCACACACACACACACACACACACACACACACACACACACACACACACACACACACACTGTCGCCTGATGATTGCGAGAGCACGAAGCTTGAAGTAGCAGCAAACAAGCCTTGATTGTCCTTGTTGTTCTGTATCACACACACACACACGCGCGTATATTTGAATATTTCTACCGTGTGTCCACACAGTACTAATACATCCAAATCTCACCGAGTGTTATTGTCACAAGTACTAGTTTAAAAACTTTTCTAATTGTCCGCAAACTCCAACGCAGCCACTTCCACATTTTCAAAACTTCACTTCTCAGCTCCAGGGTCATGACCCTGATGATGGGCCAAGCCCGAAAATTTGGTGTAATGTTTATTTTAATTTTGGTTTGAATCGCATTGAAGAGATCGTTTTTGGAGTTGAGAAGTGAAGTTTAACAGTACTACTACTAGTGGTATTACCGTATGTCAGCGCCTTTAAAGCCATGGCCTTATATTCGAAACACCGCTGCTTTCCTAGATGTTTTATGTGCAAAATGACTCACCCACTACGCCATGCCTTTTAAAAGTCAACGTCCACACAGAAATTTCAATCTACATCCACTTGTTCACCCTTCCTGCTGGGCTGTAGGTTTGTTAGCATAGTACTTATTCCTTCATTTTTACAAAACATACTTCAAATGCTATTTCATTTATGAAGCCCATGGCTTTATAACTGAGACTGGCTTTATAATCGAATATACCGCCATGGCTTTAAAGGTGCGGACATACGGTATGAATACACGGATAACCCAAACAGAGAGCCAAGAGCTCAGCCGTGGTAGTGTACAAGAAGAAAGCAAGCACAGTGAAGCTCCCGTGACCAGGCCACGTTGGCAATAAGCAAGCACTGCATTGAAGAAAAATGACTAGCTTTCGTTTCTAAATAAATAACCGTATTTACGGATGGCCCCTTAGTTTAATGCATTCGAGCTAACCGGTACCTGGAATCAGAATATCATTGTAAAGTACATAAATTCAATCATTGCCCAGAGCACACCGCTTTATCAGAACCATAATAGGGCGTGATCAGATTCAAAGCCATGCATGGCATGATCAGAGCCAAACATGGCATGATCAGAGCCAAACATGGCATGATCAGAACCATACCCAATATGGCGTCATCAGAGCCATATATAGCGTTGATCAGAACCATTCCCAATATGGCGTCATCAGAGCCATAATAGCGTTGATCAGAGTCATACATGGCATGATCAGAACCAGGACATTCAACCATACAGGTGCTACAGCAACGGCAAATTCAAAAATTCATTTCCTCTCTGTTTTTTCCCCGCATGTATGTCACACGCGCACACACATACACACGCACGCACACGCAACGTGACTATTTCAGTCTTCCCATTATCATGGTCATCCTAATAAAGATATTATTATTATTAATTTTTATCCTGGGTCATCCTAATAAAGATATTATTATTATTAATTTTTATATACGGTCAAAGTGAGCAGTCAGACTCGTATGCATGCCTCCTTTCGGCAAGGCTACTGACGATGCTGCTTTCCCCTGTGCTGGTCGGCGACATTGACAGAGGTAGAAACTCGTCGCGATACAGATCAACGGCAAAGTGCTCGCAACACCTGTCCAGCTCCCCGGCCACGTCTTGCACTGCGTCGGCGACAAGCTCATCGCATATCCTGCAGTCACAACCGAGAGAGAGAGAGAGAGAGAGAGAGAGAGAGAGAGAGAGAGTGAGAGAGAGAGAGAGAGAGAGAGAGAGAGAGAGAGAGAGAGAGAGAGAGAGAGTGAGAGAGAGAGAGAGAGAGAGAGAGAGAGAGAGAGAGAGAGAGAGAGAGAGAGAGAGAGAGAGCTCCCCTAAGATGTGTACGGTATTGTGACGCAAAGATCCAATTACGCTCGACCAAGACCCTATGCAGAGCTGGATCCAGTGTTGCACACTCTGGGGGGATTATGTACTGTTGGTAAAACGTGTAAATATAATGAGGAAGTACAACTAACGTTTTAACGAATGACATTTCTTCGTTACAGTGGTCCCTTTATAACTCGGCACCATTTGTGCTATGGGAATTGTGCTATGGGAATTGTGCTGGATTAGAAAATCTGATTTACTGCCGCAATGTGCATGATAAAAACGTTTTGGCTGCTGAAAATTGTCCTGGTTTATAGAGGGTGCTGGTTATAAAGTGGGCTGACGACTAGATAGACGGACAACTGTATACTAAGAGTACATAACCCCCAGAATGTGCAACGCCTGATCCAGGTCTGCATAGGGTCTTGGTCGAGCGTAATCGGATCTTTGCGTCATAACACCGTACACATCTGAAGGGAACCCGGGGACTCGCGGGTACTCTCGGATCAAAAACAATGGTGCCCTGCCTCGAGACCGGCCTTGAGCTGGTGTGGAGTGTACGCATGACATCAGAAGATCCGATTACGCCCGACCAAGACCCTATGCAGAGCTGGATCAGGCGTTGCACACTCTGGGGGTTATGTACTCTTGCTGATATGTGTCATGTGCAGACATGCCTGAGGGCTGCAAGATCATTAACGTATCTTCTCGTTAGCCTATGAATTTTGGACAATCGTTAAATTTGCGACTGGTCACAATAACATGTTCCAGTATTACCTTCCCACCGCAGCGCTCTCTCGTTCCATGGGATCAGTCTCCACGGCAACACGGCCATAGTGCTTGCGCAGGTGATCCGCGTACAGGCGGCGATTCACCTGGATGCTCGTCCTCATCGTGGTCGGCATGGCGACGGTTAGCCGCAGCGGCCGAACGCCCGGCACGGGAGCTGGGGCACGCCCAGGTATAGCTGCAGTGTGGTGACTTCTACTTGTACTCACAGTAGAGATAGCTGATGTGGCTATGCTGGGACCAACTGCCGGTGTCGGTAGTTCAGCATAGCTGATCGCCGTTGGTGGAGCAGCTGTGTCGATGTCCCGGATTGCGCTTCTAGATGCTGCAGTGCGAGCACCAGTCATCGGCGAAGGGGATTCGGCTTCCTGCGTGCCATGCAGCGCTGCACTCGGTCCTTGCCACGCACGCCTTGCTTCCACTGGCGGTCGTCGTGGTAACGGAGGTGCAGTCGGCAAATCGGGATAGGCGGCCGTCACCCAGCGCTGTCTGATGTCCTGAGTCGACGTCTGGAGAGAAAAGGAAGGAGATTATCTAAACAAGCGACGGGAGCGGCGTGGAGACAGTAATTTGATCGAGGCTATGAGTAAGATTAAATGTGCGGTCATCACCAACCACACATCATCACAAGGAACGTTTTCTCGTGACAATCATCAGTGGTTTCCGTCACTAAAGGGCCAATACCAAATGAAAGAGAATAAAATAATACATATCATGTATATCCACATTATGTGAACAGCCGAGCGCCCCACCCCACGCCTGATCATGCGGTGGTGGCGTCCCACGGAAGCGGAAAAGGTGGTTCTTGATCTGCCCGGTACGCGAACCCGTGGAATTTTTTTTTTGAACAGCAGAGAGTCATACAAACTCCGGATATTGAGCACTGTGTGAGCTGCAGGGACCCATACCCCCCCCCCCCCCCCCCCCGGTATTGAACACTGTGTCAGTACCAGGAAGTCGTACCCTCCCCCCCCCCCCCCCCACCCGGTATTGAACACTGTGTCAGCACCAGGGAGTCGTACCCCCCCCCCCCCGTATTGAACACTGTGTCAGCACCAGGGAGTCGTACCACCCCCCCCGGTATTGAACACTGTGTCAGCACCAGGGAGTCGTACCCCCCCCCCCCCCGGTTTTTGAACACTGTGTGAGCAGCAGGAGTCAAACCCTGGGTATTGAGCACTGTGTAAGCAGCAGGGAGTGAGACAAACACAGACTGTACACATATACCCAGACCAGAAGCCAGAGCTATACAGTCATGTAAATATGCGTACCTCGAATCGCTGCAGCTGCTCCATCAGCCTGTCCAGCTCTGTGTCAGGTGTTCTCGTCATCAGCACTTCGGTGCTACTGGAATCACAGAGTACTTCCTCTCCACCATCACTATCACCACCTGCTGCTGCTGCTGCTGCTGCTGCTGTTGCTCCCGGTACTCCAGACCTGCATAGATGTACCGTAAAACCTGTCAAGGCGACCACTCGGATAAGACGACCACCTGCCCAAGAAGACCATAGTAACCAGGACCTAGTGATGCTACATGTATTTTCAGTCAATCGGCCCTGGATAAGGCGGCCACATGGCAACAGAGACCACCTTTTAGAAGGGCCCTTGAGCGGTCGTCTTAGACAGGTTTCAATGTCCCTCGGCCACCATATTGACACAATCATCAGGAATGAAGATGGTAAAAGCAAACCCTGACCTAACCGGACCATCTTCAAATTCAGTAAAGGAGATAAATAGGGTAGATGTCTGTGTTTCGTGACAAAAATCCGGGTGTGACTTATACTCCACAAATCAGGGCACCTGTGCGATAGCACTCACCTAGCAGAGCTGGCTGCAGCCGTCGTGTCATCCTGTTTATCCGCCGTGTGCCTGTAGTGGCGCCCGATGTGCTCTTCACGCTCGGTGTTATCCGCTAGAGTTACATGCCTCCGCTGCCTCCTGGCGCGACGACCAACCTTGGGGCTAGTTGAATAACTATACGATGCGGCGGCAGGGTCGTCGTTGGTTTCGCCACCAGCTGAGATGTTCTCGTGCGTGGGTGGATCATCGTCAAGTGTGCGGCCTGCAGCAGCATGCTCCCGCTGCGGTGAATCACTGTATTCGCTATCATCACGATAGGCCAGCTCTCCGCGCATTCTTTGCCCTGGAATACGTGACGTTGGCATAGCATTGGGCATACCCGGTGCAGATATGGGTTCCGGGGGCGCAGTGTGCGAAGTATGGTAATCCGTCGCAGGGTGGCTTAGCAACGGTTGCGCTCTGCTCGCGCTTGGAACAGACGCACTCGCAGGCTTTGCCTCGTGCCGCACACTGGAGGCCATCCGCGCCGCTGCGTTGGCCACTTGAAGCTCCCTGAGCAGGGCCGCCTCCATCTGACGGTGGTGACTGGGAACGCGTGTTGCCTGGTTGTCGGAGCGTTGTCGGGCCAGCGCAGCGCGCGTGGCCACGCTCTCGCGATGCCTGCTCTGCGCCGCAATCTTCCTTCCCGTGTTCAAGTGCTGTTTGAGCAGGCTGGCAAACGTGGGACGGTTGACGTGGTGAGACTGCTGCTGATGTGACGGCGGCAGTTGTCGGTGGCCGCCAGTGCGGATGATTATGTTGCCGTGCGGTCGAGCGGCGGTGCTCCTAGGCTGTGCTTTCTTCGGCCTGGCTCGTACCACTGCTGGTGGCGAGGAGAGTGCTTGACGGCTTGCAGGGTATGATCGTGACTTCGCTGTTGACTTGCGAGGTCCAATGTGTACTTGTTTATGTGCAGCATCTCTGACTGCGGTAGACGGATGTTGGCCTCGTTGCTCTGCTCCTCGCGCTGCGTCTCGGTCCGCGGGCGAATAGCTATATGCTGGGGGAGGCTGCTTGGCAATGCCTGGTTCGCTTGAATCTGCATGAAGGTACACAGTCACGCATACACACATGCATTGATGAACGTGTGGAACAGGTGCACAAGCACCCCCCCCCCCCCCCCCACACACACACGCATAGACGAGCGCATATATTCGCGCATACAGAAAAGGCCACAGTAGCCCCAATGAAGTAATTCCGTAATAAGAGACAGTGCAGCGAAGCAATTCCACGTCACCACATGCGCTCTCTGGCCGACTGAAAGGTGCTGCTTATCATTTGAGTATAAGACAGTGCAGCTCACACAAAGCCCAAGGGAAGTGACTTCTTGCCGAATCCTGAGCAGGGAGTATAGAAGGTCTGCAATGACATCACCATATTTGCTTCGTATGGATTGTAGAGCTGCCAACCGACTGGGTCTGTTTTGCGTACTGCGCATTCGGATTTTCCGTACCTTGCAGTGATTTTGCGAACTGCTAACGTACTGCCGAGTGCATTGCTTGTGTAGCGTTTTTTTACACTCGTAATTATGCTTGTCGGTGGCTGGATTTGCTACTGCAAAACATGTGTGACTTGTACACGGTAAAAAAAAGGAGGACAACATGTTGTAAACGAGTTATGACTAACTGTCCACCAACGTAACCTGATCTTATACAGTCAGTGAGTGCAACAAAATGGCACAAAACTGACAAGGAGTACTTTTTTGTCCTCCTTTTTTCACCATAATTTAATTGGCTTGCCATCCGAGTTAGACTTGTGCATGATTGGATTTTTTGTGCTACTGTAGGAGTTGCATTTTGATATAAAGTATATTTTTCGCAGTAAAAGAGTATTTATTTGTAGAGCTTGTGTTGATACAGATTCCTAGGTTCAAACGCCAAGATGGGCAGTTAGTTACATTTTTCTCTCCTTGCGTATTTTGTATCTGCATGTTATTACCCTTTCCGTGAGTCGCTCGTGAGTAATGTATGAGTCGTGTATGGCTAAACCCGTATTTCCCCACTTTACCCGTATGACTGTCTGTTGTGAACTGTGATTGGCTGCTAATGCTATTGTTCTAGAATATTCCAGAGCTTTGAAAGAGTGGCATACACTCGCTTTGACACATGGGTATTCATCGCTCAGATTGCGCTTGCCATGCTTCTGCATACGTACATGTAACTTGATCGATCCTCTTCAATTTCCGGTACCATTTTGCTCAAAATCCGTAGTGCGGATAAAGGAGTGATTTTCCGTACAAATACGGAAGGTTGAAAGCACTAGCATTGGCAAACCAATACTTTTGATGCCACTCGATACAAACTGACTCTCTCCAAAAAATGCGGAGTCCCAAAACGTCTATCTTGAATATTTGATGTGGCTGTTTGAATCAAGGACATGGTCAGCTTATACACGTGCATACAAGCACACGCACAAGCACACAAACACACATACACCATTCAAAGTACTTTTTTGTACAGTAAAACGGCTAAGTTTGACGGGTGAAAACTCTAGCGATTTATACTGGCGCGAATTTGCAAGGTAAAATTTCAGCGATAAGCGCTGTCGGTAGAGGGGAGACTGAGCATTCAAACAACTTCTGCACAGCATGACTGAACTTTAGAGAAAACACCCGCTTCCCTAAGATCACCAAAATATCACCATCACTAAAATTAGCCATTTCCAGTAATGGAATTGTGAATGTCCACTTTCCTTCCCGGGGTAGTCTTGTAGTGACAGGACTTTCTCACCTGCTCCCAGCCCCGTGCCATCTCCACTCCACACTTATACAAGACGACGAGATAGTTGCATTAGGAAAGACTTTATTGACACGACGACGACGAAACACAACTGGACATGACAAATTCAAGACGAAGACTGCTTTTCACACCACAGCAACGCGCGAATGCACCCACATCACATACACACGACGTACACAAAATAGCGTACTACAACAGCGGCCTTACCTTGCCCAATGTTCTCCTTGTCTTGTGGTAATCCGAGGGGGTCAACGTTAGCGAACTCATCGCACAGCTCCAGCTTGGCACAGCACAGGGTGAGGTCTTGCAGTAGCGAGGAGAGCTGAGATTGCCAGTTGCGCTGCTGCCTGCTGCTACCGTCATCGCCAATTCCTCCAGTTATGGTTCTGCCGTCTTCGCCTACACCGCCTCCGACAACTGCCCCCCGGCCACCACCACCCCCGCTGGTGGAGAGGTTGCAGCGGTGGTGCACGACCAGCTCGATGGTGCGCAGGGCCGCGCGATGGGCTGCGGCAATGCGATGCAGGGCACGCGTCTGAGAGAGAGAGAGACCGTGATGTTACACACGACAACATCAACGACAAGAAAGAAACATAATTATACACATATGCACACACACACACACACACACACACACACACACACACACACACACACACACACACGCACGCACACACGGACGCACACACGCACGCACACGCATGCACACACACCACACACACACACATACACAGGCACACGCACGCACGCATGCACGCGCGTGCGCGCGCGCACACACACACGCGCACGTACACACACGGGTGCACACAGATGAGAGAAGTCGGTTCGATTACAAATGAAATATTTCCCCTGGTAGAAGTCACATTCGATTGTAAGCCACATCTTCATCTCCAGGCGGTGTTTGTTTGTTTCACACAACCCTTGATAAGGATACTTAAGTAGTGGGGAAATCAATCACGTGATGTATTTGGCTAAAGACTGCCTTTGTTTCCATCCACAGGCCTGCAGGAGACCCATCGGGGATTAGGCACCTGACTTTGGTTGTGAAGTGGGCAAAAAACCACGAGACGGAAGATGAGCACCAGCCACACAGCGAATGCCTGTGATGATGATTACCTATACTCTAGAGGTTCTGTGAATGATGCCATGCTGGTGAGCTATAGTACTGTCGGCCGCTGAAGAACTGGGGGGGGGGGGGGGGGGGGGGTCAGGGTTCTAGCCTAGCCCATTCTTATTTTTAGCGCACACAGCAGTTTCGTTCTTATTCGATGATACAGTCTTACATGTACACTTATGCAGAGTTATACGTCTGAGTGTACATTATAGTGTACATTACGGCGGTTTCCGTTCTTATCTGCTAAAATCCAGCCCAGACCGTTCTTTAAAAACATTGGTGATATTCTAGCCTGGTTGTTCTTTGGCAGTCCGTTCTTCGGTGCCCGCCAGTAGTGTAGTGCATTACCTTCTTCGTATGTTGCACTCCACCAGGTAACTGCTTTCCAAGGTCTGCAGAGATACGCTGCACCTGTGTAAACATTGGGAACACGGATCAAAGTTACTTCACACGTGTGTGTGTGTGTGTGTGTGTGTGTGTGTGTGTGTGTGTGTGTGTGTGTGTGTGTGTGTGTGTGTGCGTTTTGAGTCCCTCTCCCCTCTCCCAAGGGGAGACTCATGCGACCAGTTATGGCAGTGAGCAAGTACAAGTGTGCGCGTGTGTGTGTGTGCGTGTGCGCGCGCAGGTTTGTGTGTGTGTGTGTGTGTGTGTGTGTATGTGCGTGTGCGCGTGTGCCAGCTACTTCAATTGGTCAGTGGTTGGTTCTGTTGTGATCAGACTCAGTTGCTTGAAAAAGTACGGCTGTACCTACATGAACCTACGTTGTTGCTTTCAGGTCCATACACTTTTATTTCACAAGTATATACATAGTACATACACATCGCTCACAGGCCGCAGGAGCTCTCTACCTAAAGAGCAAGTGGCTACTTCTGCCTAGATGAACTCTAGCGTAACCAATGGCGATACTGTCGCCTTATATCAGATCGACTCTGAGTTAGCAGCCCACACTAGTATCAAGTATTATAGTCTCCGGGGCAGGGATAATGCAGTGCCGTGATTTCAAATATCCGGATAGGCGAGGGAACCAGATAATCGAACACCGGTTATGTTGGATACATCAAGTATACTGTAAATATGTAACCAGCTATTTTCTTCCGGATGGCGAGGGATCCGGATAACAGAGGACCGGATAAGCTAGGTCTGACTATATAAGCCGCACGGGAGTATGAGCCACATCCAGATTTTTTTTAAATTTTTGTCACGAAATACAGATCTCTACCCTGTTAAGCACGGTCAATTTGACTGTCGTATTAGAAGCAGAGGTTGGTGCGACTTCGGCGATAGCAGGGGAAGAGTGTGCTGCTCCCTACATGGGAGCTCGCGGTTTTCCTGCCGACTTGAATTCTCACTTGACTGACTCACGTTCCCCCCCCCCCCCCTCCCTAGAAGCTGCATTGAATTTTTAGGGTGACTAACTGGTGCGGCTTATATAGGCTCTGGAGAATACGGTACGTAACCGTAAGCAAAACAAAACAAAAAAAGTTGGATGGTGGGATAGTACCTGCTGCTGAATACCATACAGCTTGCGTGCTGACTGGGTGGCTTGGTTGCGTTGTCGTCTTACTGCCGTGTCCGTGTCTTCCTCTTGCTCCACTATGCCACCATGTAGACGACTTTGCACAACACGTACTAGCTTGCCTGCCGAAACAACAGCAATGCCAGCAGCAGTATCAGCATCAATACCAACAGTAGCAGCAGCAGCAGGCGTGTGTGTGTGTGTGTACGTGTGTGTGTATGTGTGTGTGCTTTCACTTGTGTGTGTGTGTGTGTGTGTGTGTGTGTGTGTGTGTGTGTGTGTGTGTGTGTGTGTGTGTGTGTGTGTGTGTCTGTGTGTGTGGACACCTACATGTAAGACCATGTGGTTACGTTGCGTACGTATCATACATGTATGCATACAACCAAGAGTAGATAAACAAGAGTGTGCAACTTCGGATCTCTCCTGCACAATCTCCTGATACCCCGCCCACGGCGGAATTTTTTTGTTGACGTCACCTTTTTTCAGGAAGACGTGCTTCTTGCCGCAGAGCAGTGTGAGAGCACGTGCTGGGCACCGACATTGTTATGTAAGCCCGGCCAAGTGCACGAGGCAAAACTTTCCAAAAGACTAGCAGCGCGTGGGTGGTCGAAACGATTACGTCAACAAAAAAATTCCTTCGTGGGCCAACCCATCCGCGCGGATCCGGGAGTTGCACACTCTTGTTTATCTACTCTTGATACTATAGCATCCACTGGCATCCTGTGCAATGCCGGCTCAACTTGCCTTTGCGCGATTCATGCCGTGCGTCTTGGTCATCTTCATCACGTGACGTCTCCATGCTCTGTACAAGCTGCAGCAGCTTCTTTCTCAGGTAGATCACCTCCTCCTGCGGACTTGAAAACCGAGGCACTGGCTGATCGCCGCGTGCTGGGTCACCACTGTTCTGTGTGCGGCCCGTCGGATGTGTTGCGGATGGGGGTTGGCAGCTGGGACATTGGTCGCGCTGGTCTCCTTCAGTTGCCATGCTCACGCCACAGGAGATGCAGTAGTGACGGTGCGCCCTGGTTGGTGAATCTAGCACCCGGGGTGCTTGGCCACGCACCTGGGCGGCTGGGTCGGTCGGCCCGGATGCGGGGTGGGCTGTTTTCCCCGATCTGAGGTTGGGTCGCGTGTGACCCGCGATCGGTTGTGGTGGGTGATTGTGTGCAGTATGGTGCCGCTGGGAGCATGCCGAATCCGAACCCGTCTGGGATTCTTGACGTTCACTCGGCCATTGCGATGATGACGTCTTGGCCACAGTAACAGCATTTGCAGCAGCACCACCACCGCGTGCAGGTGCAGTGTGTGCATGGGGTTGGTGTTGGCGCGTTGCAGGTACCTCACCACCGTTCAGAGGCAAGCTGCTGGCCAGAGACGACTCCGAGTGAGAGTGTGTGCCGTGACGCAGGCGATGCCGTGCCAACAGGCATGCGTTCTCCATCGTCCGTCTGTCCACCAGCGGTAGATCCACGTGGCCACGTTCTTCGGCCTTCAGCAGTGGTGGTGGTGGCCGCCGAGAATCCTTTGCTGGCGGCGGCGGTTTGGGCAGTCGCGATACCGTGATGCACTGTGGACGCTTGTCGTCGAAGCGCGTGGCAATGTTCCGCGGATGCGGCTCCACAGACAGGTTGAAGCGTAGCTGTGAGCTGTGCTGCACGGCGATACCGGGACGATGCGCCGCCGTTTGAAAGTGATGAGGAGTACTTGGCACACACGATGGGTCTTCACCAGTAGCACTTGTCGGTGGCGGAGGTGGTACGGTCGCCGCTGCAGGAGCCGGCAGCCGTTGCTGGGATGCATGGGGTGCGTGCGGATGCGTGTGGTCTAACGGTGCGGCAGCAGAGGGTTGCGACATTGGTGAGGGTGGCACGGGCACGATGTCAAACTGCTTCTGTTGCCAGAGGACACCGCCTGCACATCAGATCAGTACATCGCATACAACACAGCCATGTACATCGCACACAACAGAGTAATGTACATCGCATACAACACAGTTATGTACATCACATACAACACATGTGGTCAGATTAAAGGGTAACCATGAACACACTGCCTATGCATTGTACTGTCTTGTATAAGGGCCGGCCTGTCTAAATAGAAGCCAGCTAAATGTTCCAAATACAAGCATAATTTTCAAGATGGACAAAGGGCACATAGGCCTGTGTAGTCTGGGTGGTGACATGCCGGTGTATTTACAATTTTACACTGAGATAACCAGGTTTTCAATATCCAGATACACTGAAATCACTGGAATGGTTGGGAATAAAAGCCTGATATGAGTCCTATACTGAGCCATCGCATCTGCTTCTACGCACCGCATTACCAGATCATGGTACTTTGAAGTCTTTTAGGATAACATTCCAAAGCCCTTGCAGCTTATCGAGCCGCTCGGCTAGCAACACTTATACACACAATCTAGTGCAACGTCCGGCGAAGATTCGTTGAAACTCGACCGAAACACAGCAGATCTACAACACTATTTTTCGTCACATGGAGTACTAACTGCTTGTTCAGCAACTCCATGAGCCGCGACACTGACTCACGCTGCTATCTGGTGTTCACGAGGTGTTTGTCGCGCTGGAAACGGAGCGTCTCTGTAAGTTTGTATCCCTGGTGATGTTTGTGCCTGGAGAGCACTATATAAGTGGTGCTCTTCAGGCACAATCTTCCTCAGCCTACTCAAGCTCAACTGATGAGGGGTGAATTCCCCGAAACACTGTGTATTGAGCAGGGAGTGGTGCTTTCTTGCAGGTTGGCCGAGTGGATGGTTCGATGGACTTCTCGTCTGCCCTGGATAGCAGTCGTGAGTCAGTCAAGTGAGAATTCAAGTCGGCAGGAAAACCGCGAGCTCCCATGTAGGGAGCAACACACTCGTCCCCTACTATCGCCAAAGTTGCACAAACCTCTTCTTCACAATGGAATACTAAGATGCTGATATTTTACAACTCCCTGTCTTGACTCGACCTCTTTGCACCAGCGCCGCGTCGACCTACTACGAAAAAGTTCACACGGTGTGCACAACCTCACGCAACCTCACGGTTTACGAATATTCGTTAGCTTTTTTCGCTAAATAGTTTCGTGACGGTGCTACGAATTTCCGTTGCGCGCAACCTCTCTACTGATAACTCGAGTTACTTAGACAAGTACATGTATAAAAACAAGGCCGGTCGAGGCAGCTCGAAGCAGACCGTAACGCGTGAAACCTGAAAGTTACGGCTACACAGCCTTTCGCCTCCATTGTACGTGTAACTGTAAGTACTAGCACATGTGTATGTACAGTAAAACCTGTCAAGGCGACCACTCGGATAAGGCGACCACCTGTCCCAGAAGACCACTGCAACAAGGACCGAGGGATGCTATTTCCAGTCAAATGACCCTGGATAAGGAGACCACCTGGTAATAGAGACCACATTTTCAAAGTCCCTTGAGCGGTGGTCGTCTTAGACAGGTTTTACTGCATCTCGTTACGTTCTATGGATCTCCACTGTAGCTGTCCAGCCACCACGCAAATACAAATTTCTACTATTGCACGAGCAAGAAACACTTCGCTAGTCATACCTCGGAGCGCAGCCATAGCGAGCGCTGGTGGGTGCTAACGGAGTCGTCCGCGTCTACCCAGAGCACGTGTTCAGCGGTAGAGTAGAAAAGCTGCTTACAGTAAAGTGGAGAAAACGCCAAACTCCCAAATACACCTGGCAAACACATCATCTAATTTTTATTTCAACTATTAAACTTTCAATGCTCGACAACATTTTTTCGAATGGATGTATTTTCCCGCGCCCGCTAGCGCTCATCAACAAAAATGTTGATGTGAAAATTATCGTGAACGCGTGACCTAGCAACACTGACACCTTCTGCCAGGTTGCTAGGTCACGCGTGCTGCACGTCATGTCCAGACTGACCGTACAGACTCAGTGTACCGTGGTGTACTGCAGAGTGCAGACGGCAGCTAGCATGCGCATGCAGACTTTGCAGAGGCAGATGCCATGCCTAGCGCCAGCGAGTAACGTCTTGTCGTCCAGACGACACGATCAGCTGAGCGTTCTGTCATCACCGACGCGATGTCGTTCGTCGTCCGTTCACAATGCCATACAAGAACACAGAAAGTGCACTGCAGAACTGCGAAAGACAGCGTGAAGTCACCAGGTCACGTCGTGTGGGAGCAAAACCAATCACGCTCGAGACGACACTCGATAGTCGATAGTCGTAGTAGTAAATGTTCGATTGTGTTATGCTAGACTAGAGCCAGTAGAGGTGTTTGAATCGTACATGACTTCTATGTGGGCGACAGTCCAAAACGTTAGCAGCGATCCTGCAGGCAAGCTCCTGTTTTGTGAAACGTTTAGTCTGAAGCTGAGAGCGGTTCTCAAAAGTCGGCCAGGAAACGCTCAGAAACGCTGGTAGCAACTGTTCACGAATGAGGGTGGATGTGGAGGTGGGGTTCAAATCTAATTTTCACTTGTAACTTTCCAGTAATTTTACAAATCTCGACACTACCTTACTCGCTGCCATTGCTCGCTAGTTAGAGTACTAGTATCAGCTTTCCAGCGCTACATTATAGTCTTGGCGCTGCTGCTTGCATCGCTGTGTTAGCCAGCGAGAGGCCTGTCTCGACTGCTGCACTTGAAGATGTGCAGACGACCCGGTGGTTAGCAGAAGAGAAGATTTGATTGTCTGCCGGCCGCAATCCTACCGTTCGTGGAGACTGGAGAGGAGACCTCGCACTGCGGTCGGCCAGGATGCAGAACCGAAAATCTAGTGACGAGTGAGTGCGCCCGTGCATACAGTACGCATGACTGTTATCTGTAGATTGTAGATGAGCACCAAACTGCTGGGATGAATCGCTTGTGGTATCGTGTGTTCAATTACACACACACACACACGCGCGCGCGCGCGCACACACACACACCGTCACACACGCACGCGTAGACACACACAGTCACACATGCACGTGTACACACACACACACACACGAGCTCGCGCACGCGCACGCACACACACACACACACACCACATACACACACACGCGCACACTCACATACACCATGTACCATGTATACGCCCGTCGCAAGAGAAGCACGCACGCGCGCGCACACCACACACGCACACGCACACACACACCACATACACACACACACACACACACACACACACACACACACACACACACACACACACACACACACACCACACACACACACACACACACACACACCACACACACACACACTACTACTACTACTACTACTACTACTACTACTACTACTACTACTACTACTACTACTACTACTACTACTACTACTACTACTACTACTACTACTACTACTACTACTACTACTACTACTACTACTACTACTACTACTACTACTACTACTACTACTACTACTACTACTACTACACTGGGCGGTTGGGCTTTTTGCTCCTCCGTTATTCTCTAATTTTCTACTCCACTGTTCAATTCAATCGGTTTGAAGCCTTTTCACTTACTTTCCTTGTGACATGTGGAGTCGGCTCGAGTAGTTTGCTTCCTTCTGGGCTCGTCCAGCCCGCCAGTCCTTCATCCAGCTGGTTTCTTGCGCTGCGAATCGGCCATTATAGCCGTTGGTCCGTGCTGGGCACGTTTGAGCGTGCGGGCCTTGGGCCCTGTTTGAGCTGGCTTGCTGTGCTGTGCACACGTTGTGGTTTGGCCCTGTACTGCCTGCAATGGCGCTCTGGATGCATACTTGGTATGGGACGAGTCGAGTTGACACTACTCATTGCATGTAGACGCACTGTTTACACCTAAGGCTAGGGCTAGGTCCTTGCATGCAGTGTGCCCGTGCTGTGTCTATGGGATGTCGCGGTCACGCGCTGTGAGCGGTCGACCATGCTGCGCTTGCAGCAGAGCGTCTGGGACTTGCAAGTCATGTTCGTGTGCGTCGGATGGACGCTGCTGCAGCAACTGTTACCCTGGCAGAGATAATAAATGTACGAATTTTGGCAACGTGAATCTGCAGACCGCAGTTGTTGGAATGGGTGCGGACGAATCGTTGTGTAGCGCTCCACCTTTTCGACCTCCTGGCTGGGTGCCCCATGGTTCCCGGGATGTGTTGGGCTCTGTTCCTCCGCCATGTGGCTCACACTCTCGCACAATAGCAACTCGGAGCTCTGCCTCGGCGGTGACGGCTGGGTCTGCGCCAAGTTCCGGACATCAGTCTTCCCGTGATGGCGCATCAGGAGATCCTCAGGTGTCTGTTCCTGCCTCTGCATCTGCGCTGCCTCGCCGCGGCATGGTTGGGCATGTACCAAGTTCCGGGCCTCAGTCTTCCCGCAATCGAACAACAGGAGATACTCATGCGTCTGCTCCTGCGCCTGCGCCGGTGTCTTCGGAGTGTTTGCGCGTGGATCTGCCGCCCCCACGATGTTCGGGGGCGAGTCGCCCTGTGCAGTCTGGGGATGGTGGCGACCATGTCGTTGCTTGGGTTGCTCATGCTCCCCTAGTTGCTTCTCTATGGTCACGGCATGCAGAGTTGGCTATTTGGATGCGGACTGCATATGGACAGGTTGTGTGCTGGCAGCGGAACCTTTTTATGACCCCCTCGGGTTCCACTGGCAAGCGTTTCGTTAACATTATCGCGGACTTCATAAACACTTTTGCATCTGGTGGTCCAGCTGCCTGTGTCGCTTGGGAGTGTGTGGCGGTTGCTAGTCACCTCTTGCTGCAGCGACCTGAGCCGCACAGTAGAAGCAAGGAGAATACAGAGCATCTGCAGCGGCGCATGGACATGTGGGCTGCTGGTGACTTGCAGCCACTGTTGGAGGAGTCCCGTTGCGTCCAGGCTCACTTGCGTCCCCGCTCGGGGTCTGCTGGCGGTGGTGGAGACAGTGGGATGTCGGACACGGATTTTGCCAAGCTTGTGCACGGTGGTCGGCTGGGTCAGGCTCTGTCTGGTTTGTCAGAGGGGCGGTGTGGCAAACCTCTCCGGGCTGATGATATTGCGGTGCAATCCTCGGGTGAGACGGTCCATGACGTGCTTCAGAAGAAGCACCCTGCTCCTGTGGATCCAGCCGAGGGAATATTGTTGGACTGTGAACCAGATCTTCCCAACCAGATTATGTTTGAAACGATTTCAGCAGAAAAAATCGAAAAGACAGCTGGCCGCATGAAGAGTTCTGGGTCGGGAGGTCCATCTGGACTGGATGTCGCTGCCTGGCAGAGAATGCTCACGGTGTTCAAGGGAGCATCGGCGAACCTTGCATCGGCGTTGGCTGCAGCAGCGAAGCGACTCTGCAGGGAGGTTGTCGATCCTCAGATTCTGTCAGCGTTCGTGGCAGCTCGCCTTGTTCCCTTGGAGAAGTCTGCTGGTGATGCTGCTGGCGCTACTTCCAGTATAGGTGTGAGACCGATAGCTGTTGGTGAAGTACACCGCCGTATTATCGCTAAAGCTATATTGGACTGCGTCTCCACTGATGTTGTTGCGGCTGTAGCCCCATTTCAGGTTTGTGTGGGCATGCCATCTGCGTGTGAGGCTGCGGTCCTTGCTGTGCAGAGCCAGTATTTGGATCCGGAAACAGAGGCCATTTTGTTCATAGATGCGTCTAATGCATTTAATGCTGTTAACAGACAGGCAGCGCTTCATAACGTTCCTCGAGTGTGTCCTGCCGTATCCACAATCTTCCAAAACACATATGGCGCTCCAATATCGTTGTTTCTGCCGGGTGGTGACAGGATCTTGTCTCGAGAGGGTACTTGCCAGGGCGATCCTTTGGCCATGGCACTGTTTGCGCTGGCTATTAGCCCTATGATCAGACGCCTGTCAAGTGACCACCCATCTATTGGCCAGTGCTGGTATGCGGATGACGGCGAGGCTGGTGGAAGGATGATGGACGTGCACAAGTTTTGGTTGGCTTTGTCTGACATTGGACCGGAGTATGGTTATTTCCCCAATGCCTCAAAGACGACACTCCTTGTCAAGCCGGATTTGGAGCGGGCGGCCGTTGACATGTTCGATGCCACTGGTATTGCAATACGAACTGGTGGAGCGAGGTACCTGGGAGGTGCTGTTGGCCAGTCGACGTTCATTGCCGATAATCTCGATAGCCACATTGTGAGTTGGGTGCGGGAGATGAGCCTCTTGGCTGACATCTCGCTTACACAGCCCCACGCCGCATATTCCGCATTTGTCCGTGGTATGAAGAGCAAGTGGAACTATCACATCCGAAGTCATCCAGGGTTGGCCTCTTCATACAGACCACTGAATGATGTTATAAATAATAAATATATCCCCACGTTAACTGGCCGGACTGAGGTTTCTGATTCGGAGCGGAAGCTGCTGGCATTACCAGTGCGATATGGTGGCCTCGCTATTCCTGTGGTGGCGGAGGACGCAGAGGTGCAGCGCCGGATAAGTGAAGTTGTCACTGGGCCCGTCGTGCGAATGCTGCGGTCGGGGTCCAATGAGTTGACCCCGGCTCGGATTGTTTCAGACACCAGCGTTCTCCGGAGACATCAAAACAATCAGCGTGCTGCTATGCATAGGACCCAGCTGTCAGAGCTGGCCCCTGCCCTAAGTGGCCCTCAGCGTGTTCTGCTGGAAACCTCCAGAGATGCCGGTGTGGGAAGTTGGCTTGCGGCGGAGCCGCTTGCCTCCTGTGGATTCGTCTTGAACAAGTCCGCCTTTCGTGATGCAGTGGCAATTCGTCACGGCTGGCCACTTGATGAATTACCATCATCCTGCGTATGTGGAGCGGCCATGACGCTTGATCACGCTGCGGTATGTCCAACAGGGGGCTACCCAAGTCTACGCCAAAATGAGATTCGGGACCTGTTGGCGGAGGTGTTTTCGGCTGTCATTTCAGATGTAAGGATAGAGCCTACGTTGCTGCCTTTGACTGGTGAGTCATTGGATTGTGCCACTGCCAATCGTTCTCCTGAGGCTCGTTTGGACATTTGTGCAAGGGGCTTCTGGTCTCGACAGCAAGATGCATTTTTTGATGTGAGGGTCACCCACCCCTCGGTGTCCTTGCTGTCGAGATCGGATGTACTTGCCCAGTTGTCTCGTAACGAAGCACAGAAGAAACGGGCCTATCTACAATGTGTGATTGATGTTGAGCGAGGCACCTTCACACCTTTGGTTTTCGCGACCAATGGTATGTGCGCTTCCGAATGTTCCCGTGCTCTAAAGAACATTGTTCAGCTCATTGTCGAGAAGCAGCCAGAGCTTAGTTATGCAATGGTAATGTCGCATTTGCGCTGCAGGATCTCTTTTATTTTGCTCCGCTGGCTGATTACTTGCTTTCGTGGGTGCAGAGCTTCATACTGCCGAAAGCGTGTAGCAATTTCATTCCTGGACCAATGCCGTTTGCTCCAGTTGTGAGTGGGAATATAATTATAAGGCCCTCCATGTGCTGTGCGCGGAGGCCTTCGGTTAATTTCAATATCTTCCTTTTTGGCCGGCTTTCCAAGTTGCGCTATTGTGAATAATGATCTGCTTTGATAGTAGTGACTGCTAATAATTGCCTGGATTTGACTCGAGTTCGGATTTTTCTTCCATCATCTTTCCGATCACATTATCATGGATTTTCAATAAAGTTCTTTGACTACTATTACTACTACTACTGCTACTACTACTACTGCTACTGCTACTGCTACTGCTACTGCTACTGCTACTGCTACTGCTACTGCTACTGCTACTGCTACTGCTACTGCTACTGCTACTGCTACTGCTTCTGCTTCTGCTACTGCTACTGCTACTGCTACTGCTACTACTACTATGATTCGGCTACCCTAAACGGGTCACGCCACCCTCCACCCAAGCATGGGCACTATGAGGGGCAGTGGCAAATAGAGAGAATCAGCAAGCAGAACTGGCAAAACAGATGAAAGAATGGAGTAGAACCGACGACTGCTGTACTGTAACAACAACCTGACAGCTACAGTGACAACGACTGAAAATGAACAGGAAAGAAAAACGCACACACACACACACACACACACACACACACACACACACACACACACACACACACAAAACACACGTCATGCTCTATGTGTATTTAAAAAGAAAAGTGTATTGGGTAAAGTAATGATTTGCCCTAGCAAATACCCATAATATGTCTGGCACTATTGTGTGCATGTACATGTACCTGCGTATAGCAACCACCTTCTATGGTCATTGAATCGTACCACAAACGAGCTTATGTCATGCTTGATGTCCATGGACTGTGCAGGGGTAAGAGGCCATAGGCCAACCATGCTGTCGTTGAAAATAGCTGAACAAGAATGGTGTGTGTGGTGTGTGTGTGTGTGTGTGTGTGTGTGTGTGTATGTGTGTGTGTGTGTGTGTGTGTGTGTGTGTGTGTGTGTGTGTGTGTGTGTTCATGTACACAGCAGCACTGAAAGCGGCTTGATCGAAGGTGACCCTACAAGTCAGGACCTGAGCCAATGGGGACAGGTTTGTCGGCCGTCTCTCGCACTGAAAAGGGGTGGCTTGTTTCGCAGGGCACGTGGTGCAGCGACAAAAGGTACGCAAGCTTGCACATACATGTGCACAATACTGAATAGGGACACACACAGACACCCATACGCACACACAGACACCCATACGCACACACAGACACCCATACGCACACACTTCTACTTGCGCTTGTATTTGCTGACTTCCAAAGTCGGTCATGTCGGTCTCCCCGGGAGAGGGGAGAGAGAGAGACTCATAAGGAATCTTGGAAAGATGACTCAATTGGCCATTGACCAACCCAACAGCCCTCACTGTTTAATCTGGCAGTATTGTTACGCACAGATAGATACAGTAAAATCTGTCAAGGCAACCACTTGGACAAGGTGACCACCTGTCCTAGAAGACCACTGAAACCAGGACCTAAAGATTCTATTTCCAGTGAATTGACCCTGGATACGGAGACCACCTGTCCTAGAAGACCACTGAAACCAGGACCTAAAGATTCTATTTCCAGTGAATTGACCCTGGATACGGAGACCACCTGGTAACAGAGACCACATTTTGAAGGTCCCTTGAGCGGTCGTCTTAGACAGGTTTCACTGTACAGAAATGCTCGTGTGTGTGTGTATGGCTCTCTCTCTCTCTCTCTCTCTCTCTCTCTCTCTCTCGCTCTCTCTCTCTCTCTCTCTCTCTGTCTCTCTCTCTCTCTCTGTCTCTCTCTCTCTCTCTCTCTCTCTCTCTCTCTCTCTCTCTCTCTCTCTCTCTCTCTCTCTCTCTCTCTCTCTCTCTGTCTCTCTCTCTCTCTCTCTCTCTTTTTCTCTCTCTCTCTCTCTCTCTCTCTCTCTCTCTCTCTCTCTCTCTCTCTCTCCCTCTCACACACATGTATCTGTGTTGCCACCATCAGGTGGAGGTGATGTCGGTGGTGGGAGAGTAGTGCAGCCAGACTCGGTCCTCATCAAGCTAAGAGAGGAGCAGAAACAGAAAGACAGTATGGTCACCCCCGCCGCCGCGGTCGTCGCTAGCAACCACTACCATGATGATGACGAAGATGACAACGACGATAATGATGGGAGAAACGATGGCCACAACGCAGGTGACGACAACAATACGGAGGAACCAGAATCACCGAATTACACCATCTTGCCACCACTAGCCTCGGGCAAGGCTTCGAAGGAGGAGGAGAGGCAGAAGCTGTTTGATGGTCTGAAAGATGAGATTGCTCGACTCAAAGCTGAAAATAAAAGTACGTTGTCAGTGCAATTCTGTGTGCTATCACCTATTGGATATTGAGGGAAGGAGGGGGGGGGGAGCTTTTCAAAACATCAACTGAAAACTTAGTCGTCCGCTTTGTGTTCATAAAATAATTACCGTACTGGCAATATAATATTATGTTGCCGCGTAACGCGTAACGCAGGGGGGGGTGCGGCGTAACGCGCGACCAGGCTAGTGCGACAAATTTTCGTTGAGTTCGTAACGCGCGTCCGGCGGGGTGCGGCGATCTTTCATTGCAGTTTGCACTGCAAAAAAAAGGCTGAAAACTGTGAAAGCACGTGTACCGCGTACCGCGTGGTGAAAAGTAGTTTTTGGAGGAAGCGCTCTTCCCCTATGTCACTTTCCTTTTGATGATCTTTTTGTGAACAGATCACTCTGATAGTTAAAATATACAGTCTTCTATTGATATCGTTGTCGCCCTTTGCCGTCGGGTTTGTAACAGTTGGATAGCAACTGAATTTCTGTGCCTTCAATGTGGATGAAAAGAAAAAAATGATGCGGCAAAAGCAAAAAAATGATGCGGCAATAGCAAAAAAGTGATGCGGCAATAGCAAAAAAAGGACTGCGGCAATATAGAAACCTGTGTAACGGCTCCTGCGATCCTGTGCGACTTTGCATGTAACGCCCTGCGTGCGGCAAACATGTGCCAATGTAACGCTTCATGGCCTCACTGCGGCAACATATATTGCCAGTACGGTATGTCATTGTAGTTGTTCATCATTTCCTGTGAGTGTGCAGTCGTGACACACAGGGTCTTGTCCATACACTATGATACGCGGGGCACTTCGGAATTAACAGCAATTTCCCATCACTATTAACTCGGCTATTGCCAGTACTAGTGGTAGATTTTTCTTGTGACTAGACGAGGCCAGACGACGCTTGCAGTGAGCAAGTACAAGTGCAATTGTGTGTGTATGTGATGTGTGTGTGTGTGTGCTGTGTGTTTGTACATGTGTTTGTATAATTATGTTGTGTGTGCATGCGCTACATTGACACTCGGGGACTCCTCTCAACCCCCTACACATGCGCAGATCTGCAGTTCAAGTTGATCTTCTCACCGCCGTCCCAATCAGCGCATGGCACAGGTAAGAACCGCACACATGGGTAACGATGAGTCCGAGACCCTTGGTCGGAGCGTGTGAAACTCTGAGTTACAACGCGCTTGTCATCCTCTTATTCTGGCTGTACGTGTAATGCGACGTACATGTATGCATCAATTTCCCGCCGTTAGGTTTTGCATGGCAAGTCCACTACAACCGTACACACTGTCATACCAACTCTGCATAAAAGGTCATGAACTTTGTAATGGCGTACTACGCATAGATCTACGAGAACGGGTTTTTACCTACCAAAAATGGAGCAACTTGCCCCGCAAAAAAGTGATGGCCATCTTCGATGCATACCTCCCACTGTGTATGCGTAATGGCGTCGCGTCGGGCATGCATCGCTGGTGTGGGTTGTACCCAATGCTGCTGCTGCTGCTGCTCTCTCTCACGCATCTACCGTGCCTCTCTCCATTTCTCCCTCACGCGCTCTCACACACACACACACACACACACACACACACCCACACACACACACACACACATGCACTTGTACATGCATACACACGCACACGCATTACTCGCACGCACACACACGCACATCGGCAGGCTCCAGTCGACCAGCAGTAGCAGGCCAGGAACAGGGTGCCAGCGCCAGCAATCCTGAGCTGCTCGATGCCAATCAGGAGCGGCTTCTCCAGGAAGAGATCGAGGACTTGCGCACGGCCCTGGTGGAGCAACGCGACGTCAGTGCACAGCTGAGGGCGCACATCGATCAGATGAATCACATCTATCAGCAAAAGCCATTCAGGTAATTCTACCATTATGTTATCTTATCTTCATTCTAAAATAGAAGAAGAAATCCCACGGAAACGAGTTTTGAAGCAACTATCCACGGCTGTAACAAGATAACAAGCAGTCAGAACGTGTGATAACAGGGCACAAACCTGACAGGCTACTATTTTATTTATGCATCACCATAGGTACAGGCAGGGGCGGCGGACACGGTGCGGTCACTACGGTATTGACCGTACCGCTATTTACCCCAAGCACCCCGTGAATCAATAAAATGCACTGATTTGGGCTCTAAATTTCCAAAATTGTCGGCTCAGCCACCCCCCCCCCCCCCTCCCACGAGTAAATAGTTGTACTTCAGATCGCTGACCGTACCACACTAAAATACCCTCCGACGCCCCTGGGTACAGGCGTTGCTGCCTTCTTCTTGTGGATCATGAACGATACCACTGCTCCTAGGCCAATACACAATGCAGTAGACAGCAAACTGTTTCGGCCATCTAGCCCCCATCAGTACAGCCAGGAGCTTTTTTAAGTAAGCCGATCCACCAGCCATGGTGCAGAGGTGGCACCACACAGACAATATGGTAACTCGTTGCTCTAGCGTCAGAGTGCCGCGAGTCTAACTGCGAAAAGTAGCAAGCGACGCGATGGTAATTCTACCATTATGAGTCCAGTGCCAAATTATGGAATGTACGAGTGATGCATGTGAGCGCGCTGAAATCGATAGTACACTGCTGTGCACCCTGCACAACTCCACAGCAATACACTGGCTCTGTTCAATACCCTACACAACCATAGATCAACAATGCACTGGTGATCGCCTTATCCAAGTGGTTGCCGTGACAGCCGGGTTTTGCTGTTGTCGAATAGTCTTCTGTCCCACTTCACTGTCACCCCACATCATCAATAGGATCATGTGCTTTAAACTTTAAAAAAAATCAGACTACTACAGTAGGCAGTTCGCGCACCCTTTTTGAGATGTTAATCCTTCCAACAAACAAGCGTGGACCTTTCAGCTGTATAGCTTGTGGGTATAAACCTGGATGCCTGCAAAATGCAACCCGCAAGAGCTCCACTGGCGACATTCTTTCGGTACTTACTGTCTTTGGTAGCATGCGTGCTGAGAATGATCAGCTGACTCCGTGGCGCAACGGTAGCGCGTCTGACTCCAGATCAGAAGGTTGCGTGTTCGAATCACGTCGGGGTCAGATTCACTTTTTTTTATTCATTTTTCAATAATTTTACCCGCTAGGAGAGAGAAACGGGAAAAGTCTAAAGAAAATTGACTTTGACACCAGGGTTTTCCAGCAAGTGGTGGCTTTCTTTGGAGATTCTTTCACGACTTTTCTTTCCGGACATGCAGTACAGTGGCATTGCGCTCACTGAAATCCGACCCGAAGCGTGCAAAAAACTGGCGCCCTGGACCAGTTCAGATTACTTGCCTGTACTGGTACATGTGTACGTCCAGGCGCATTCGTACCACTTCCAGGGCGTCAAGGGCCGAGCTAGCTCAGGGCGACAAGTACGCATTTTGGGTCGGATTTCACCGAGCACGTCTGTACTTGCGAAAGCTATACATGTTATGTATAATTACATTGCATTGATGCCAACACTGAGAAGCTCCTCATAATAAAATTAATTATAATTTTTATTATTTAAAAATTCGACGAGGAGACAATAATTTTAATATGGCAATAAGTAGGACGAGTTGTTTCTTGCATCGTCTCCATCGCTTACATTGTTAATAAAGTAGTCCACATGTCGCTTCAGCTCGTCCTACTTTTTTGCCATATTAAAAATTTTATTATGTCTGTACTTTTGTATTTAGCAAACAAATGGCGAATACTTGTAGATGACGCCTATAGACCCACTGCGCATTGCCAAATATGGAATGTATGAGTAATACCAAGAGTACGCTGGGATCAGCAATGCACTGTTCAACACCCCAGACGACCATGCCCAGGTGGCTGTGAAGGGTGTTTATGGTGCAAATTACGTCATTGTGCAATAGGTCAATAGGGCTTGAAAGTGCTACGTCACAGCATAGCAACAATTTCAAAAATTCAAAAACTGGATCCACTTGGATCCAGTTTTTGTATGGATCCAAGCACATTTCAAGCCGTCTTACCCACAGCATGGTGATGTAGCCAGTGAAACTGACTGATTTCGCTACTGGGGGCAGGGTTACAACTGGTGGCGAAATAAAAGTCACACCTGCATGCGACATGAGTGGGTTGCTATGCACCCACATATATAGGCAATAGCAAAGTCACACCTTAGTGGATCCAAAAATAGAAATCTAATGTCAACTTACTACACCCTGGTCGTTTTGACGTCATCACTTTCAAGCCCTATGGGTCCATTCTTCTTTCTGTACCGGGTCGTGATGATTGTGTTTTGTGCACGTGTGTCCAATGTGATGATTTGCAGCCAGGCCAACGCAGCGGTGGCCCGTCAGGCGCTAGCCATGGCCGCGGAGCACGCCAGGAACACGTCCGTTTCAGCAGTACCACCACAGCAGCAACAGCACCAGCATCACACGTCACCTCCCATGGCAACCGCAGCTCCAGGAGCTGCGAACACGCGCCCGCTGGTGGCAAGAGCGATCGGGCCAGATGCGCCAACTCACCGCCACCTGCCAAAGGTTGCGGCAGCGGCGGTGGAAACCGCACAGACGCGTGGCAGTGCTGAGGTTGCGGTGCCCGCCGACTTGGCCAGTTGTCATGTCATGATTCACGCGTTGCGAAAGGATAACGTACGGAAAGCTCATGAGGTATGTATGACTGCGTATTGCAATGTGACCTATGTAGCTTTCAAGCTGGTGCCAGTCCTGCCCTGCCCCCCTCTCCATCTCTCTCTCTCTCTCTCTCTCTCTCTCTCTCTCTCTCTCTCTCTCTCTTTCTCTCTCTTTCTCTCTCTCTCTCTCTCTCTCTCTCTCTCTCTCTCTCTCTCTCTCTCTCTCTCTCCCTCTCTTTCTATCTCTCTCAATTGTAAATTTTAGGCTATCGAGTATCGTTTCTGGTCAGTAGTGGCGATTTTCTCCTATGACAGACCTGCAAGGAACACATGGTTTGTGTGTGTGTGCGTGTGCGTGCGCTTGTGTATGTGTGTGTGTGTGTGTGTATGCGTGTGTGTGTGTGTATGTATGCGTGCATGTGTCCGTGTATGCACACGCGTGTGCAAACATGTTCTGTTGCCTGTTCACTGCGGTGGTGATGTCGCTAGCTTGGACAGCTGAAAGCCGACCTGAACGACTTGCTCTACTCGAACAAGTGGACGCCGGACGCCTTCCTGCTCGCCAAGGCCTACACCAAACAGCCGAACACCAGCAGTGCTGCAGCTGCGGCCGCTGCTACTGGCCAACACACGACCACCGGCACAAGCAAACACTTTGCACACAAGACCGGCATGGGACGTGGTGGCGGTGGTGGCGGTGCTGGTGTCTCACTGCCCGCAATCAACCAGAGCACTCGCACTCGCGACGGCAAGCCCCTCGTGCCGTACTCGTTTCCACGCACGCTGGACACGTCCGAAGACTTCCGGCTGCCGGCTCTGAAGCCTAAGGCGCCCAGCCACGCGGGGCGACAGCGCAACGTGCAGGCAGTCCAGAAAGCCAGACAGGAGCGGCAGTAGCTATGCGAAGGGGTGACGGCGTGCTACATCATCCCCAGCCCGTACGCACCGGGGGCCCAGTCTCGAATGGTGCAGAGCTGCAGCATCTGACAGCTGGCTCGTGCCTAAGACATCGGCATGGTGCTTCTGATGCATCAAACCATGCTGTGCACGTGACATATCTATTGTTATGCTACTACAGAGGGTAACCATGGGAACGGGTGACGGCAGTGCTACCCAATCCCGGCCCGTACGCACCGGGGGGTCGCCCCGAATGATGCAGAGCTGCGGCATCAAACCTCTGGCTAGTGTTTTGGATGCAATCAAACCATGCTGCACATGTGGCATTATGCTACTTAAAGAGGGACAAACGAGAATCACAACAGTTTATTTATCACGATACTTATAATTATCTCTTTCATGGCTGCATGAGAAGACCGTTAGCTAGAGCTATGAATCTCAGCCAATCAGAAGACAATCATGCTCACATACTTCAACGTTCATCCACATGCAGCTGCGGAGCGAAGTGACGGCATTGCCCCGAAGGAACTCATGTGCTTCCTCCGCCCAGGAGACTATACCCATCGTGTTGGAAGTCGATCTTCACGGCACGGGAATGGAATCCAACTTTTGACATTTACATGTACCACCCAGTCTATAAGTCAGGTTGTGTGTGTGTGTGTAAGGATGTCAAGGAGTATTTTGTGCTCAGATAGAAGCTGTTCTGCCGTCTTGCTCTGATCATTGTCTTCAATACTCATTATCATGATCCATTTTGTTCCTTACTGTGTTTCACACTGCGCAGTAGAACACAGCAAGAGCAAGAGATCTATCTGTTCCGAAAGAGCACGACTGAAAGGACACGTTCTTTTGGTTTTGTTGTTTTGAAGTGTCATGAGAATTGTAAACAGCTGCAGGTGCATGTTTTCACGGTGACAGCATGAACAAGGCGATTTCGCGCTGTCACCGTGAAAACATGTTACCTATCAGGCAAGGCTTGCATATACAGGTGCTGTTGGTGTCCTATGTTTTCACAGTGACAGCGTGTTAGCAAGACGAGGACACACTGTATGGGAAACAGTGCGCTGTCACCATGAAAACATGCAACCAAGAGTCCATAACTATGGTCTCTTGATGTTACCTACATTGTATCGGGCAAGGCTTGCGTTACATACAAGGTACTACAACCATAACCCGGTTGGCAGAGTCCCGGTCTTGCGACCATTTGAACCGTATTGGGAAAACCCAGGTTCGGACCCTCTTCACTCTAGGGCCCAGTAGGGGTTGGTAGGAAGTAGAATTTTTTTTCTTTTTTTGTTGTGTTGTAGATGGACCCTCTTTACTCTAGGGCCCAGTAGGGGTTGGTAGGATGAAGAATTTTTTCTTCTTTTTTTGTTGTGTTGTAGATGTCGTCGTGTTGCCACCGCAGTTGTTGTTCACGTATTATACCGGTACCAGCTACTGTATTACCGGTACAGTGCTGTCGGTCGCCGAAGAACTGGGGGAGGGTCAGCCTCCTAGCCTAGTCCGTTCTTATTTCCATGTACTACAGTCGATGGGCAGTTGAGTCCTCGTGTATACATATTGGTATGCTGTGCTATATGAAATTCTAGCCTGGCTGTTCTTCGGCGCCCGACAGCACTGTAGTAGTACTCAGTGCTGCTCTATAATCAGGGAGTAGTACAATATAATGGTATTGTACTACTCCCTGATTATAATCCAATCACGCGAGTCAGGCTTGCGCCCTGTGCAGTACCCGATTTCAGAGCCCAGTGTTCGTAGGTACTAGGGCTGCGCAATGCCCGCGGCGCGTACTTGAGTGACTCCGGGTCGGATTTCAGTGAGCAACACTGTACATGAACATGAGAGAGCATGGGTTGTGTACGACATGACTGTGCTCTTTTCTCCCAGAGTATGTGTACTAACGGGATAGCGACGGCACACTAGAGCAAAGGCGCTGGCAGAAAAGCTTCCCGGTCCCATGCAACTTCACACGAACACCATCGGCATGGAAACGGCAAGAGCATCAAATTCGCACAACAGCACACTAGATTTCCAGGTGGAAAAGTTTTCAACAAAACAAGTTCTAAAGCAAACTATTACGGAAGTACTACAGACCCTAAGCAGAAAGAGACCGTTGAAAAGCGATTGCCACTGGCGTTGAAGCCATGGCGACATTCGACAAATCCAATTGAAACAACGCCTAATATCGTCCTAAACCAACAGAACACGAAGACAGTTTTATTCGAGCTGAGATGCTAAAATGATATATTTTTCTTGGAGTAAGATCAGTTCTAAACAATTACATCATCATCATTATTACTGTATCTTAGAAAAAGTTCTATAAATAGAGATCAGACCTTTAGAGAAAAGTATGAGAGAGAGAGAGGAGCAGTGTTAGACAGGCGTTTAGTGGCGCTTGCAGAGCTCCAGGGGGCGAGTGTCCATCTCCATCTTGTGCACGTTATCACAGGCTGCTGGCTTGTCACTTCCCTTGTACAGGGTGCAGATGGTGGTGAGCAAGTCATTGGTGTTCTCCAAGTGCTGCATAGGCAGAGTGAAAGAGAGCAAAAGAATTGCGTTACTTATCAATAGTAATCTCTCTCTCTCCCTCCCTCCCTCCCTCCCTCTCTCTCTCTCTCTCTCTCTCTCTCTCTCTCTCTCTCTCTCTCTCTCTCTCTCTCTCTCTCTCTCTCTCTCTCTCTCTCTCTCTCTCTCTCTCTCTCTCTCTCTTCTCTCTCTCTCTCTCTCTGCACCCGGCACTGGGGTGACTCGTCACTCGAGTGCTCGAATTTCGTTGGGCTGTGCCGATATACACAGACTGACACACACGCACACACTTATGACATACGTACGCATACACCCACGACCCCTCCCACACACACACACACACACACACACACACACACACACACACACACACACACACACACACACACACACACACACACACACACACACACACACACAACACATACATACATACACACACACACACATGCATCCACACATACACCCCCCCCCCCCCCCACACACACACATGCACACACACACACACACACACCAGGGGCGGATCCAGGAATTTTTCAGGGGGGGGTTCAATTTTTTTCGAGTGCACAGAATTAAATTCGCTTCAAACTGTTTTCGGTTCGTTCACTACACCGGGAGTTGCAAAACTTTATTGTCACGGTAGCCCTTGCATTGCTTGGCCAATAAGACAAGGGTAATAATGCGTTTAGAGCCTTACAAAGTACAAAGCTGCAGCACAGGCAGAAACTAAGGCCGTGACTGCAGCATTTTCCGAACTGACGGAAGGCGAAGTTCTCTGACTGTCCTCCGGCTGGGACTGCGTGTCGTCACATTCGCGTCGTACACGGCGGAACGAAGCCAAGCTCAATGGCAACTGATCGGCCGCTCGCCTCTTTGGCAGACGTCGCGACATGGCAAACCACACGACAAACACAAACATTATCTTCGTACTGCGACGGAGGAAACCTACAGTCCAGCCAGCGCGAAATAAAACAAAAACGACAAGGAAGGTAAGGAGGACAAGTGGCAGTTTCTCCACCTTTTCCTCCACCAAGACATGGCAAACTACACGACAAACACAAAATAATATTATCTTCGTACTGCGACGGCGGAAACCTACAGTCCAGCCAGCGCGAAATAACACAAAACGACAAGGAAGGTAAGGAGGACAAGTGGCAGTTTCTCCACCTTTTCCTCCACCGCGACATGGCAAACTACACGACAAACACAAACATGATCTTCGTACTGCGACGGAGGAAAGCTACAGTCCAGCCATCGCGAAATAAAACAAAACGACAAGGAAGGTAAGGAGGACAAGTGGCAGTTTCTCCACCTTTTCCTCCACCGCGAAACTACACGACAAACACAAACATGATCTTCGTACTGCGACGGAGGAAACCTACAGTCCAGCCAGCGCGAAATAAAACAAAACGACAAGGAAGGAGGACAAGTGGCAGTTTTTCCACCTTTTGCTCCACCACTTGAACTGTCGATCGTTTCAAGTCACATGATACGCGTACAGACCCTTCGATTCGAACGGTACGCGTATAACAGTCCCGACCACTGCATGCATGCAGCGACCTACATGTGTAGTACCTGCACTGCCTGTATACGTGACTACTGCATGCAGGATGCATGCCAGTGAAGTCTACTGGCTACGCTGCATGTAGATCTACGCTACACTTCGCTGGTTGCGCACGTGGATATCACAAAAGAATCGACTGGACCCATGCATGGTCGAAATTATTTTAGGGGGTTCGTCCGAACCCCCTGAACCCCCCCTGTATCCGCCCCTGCACACACACACACACACACACACACACACACACACACACACGCGATGTCAGGGTAAATTTCTGTTTTGAGAATCGGGCAAATATTGTAATACCATCCGATTCCTGAAGACAAGTAGAGTATACTGGCAAAGTTTAAAGCAAATCGGAGCAAATATAGTGGACTTATTCCAGTTTAGAGTGCGCGGGGTAAGCGCCGCCATTGTCGAAAAGCACCATGCCTCACTGTACACAAACCAGATCTCACCACGGCACAAAATCGGTCTTGACAACAGGGATCGCGGCTCATGAATAATCTTGCGCACTGTACAAAATGAAATACCGTAGCTGTACTATTTTTTGTTGTTGCTGCAAACTGTTGGAGAAATTCAAGAAGACTGTTGAAGAGTAGCCGAAGTATGAGTTGTGATTTGGCCATTCTCCGAGACAAGAAGAGTTCGACAAGTAGATTATGATCCTGGTGGTGGTCCGCTTTGAACTTCATCAGTTCTAACACCAATGCATTTGAAACGTTTCCGATCATGCTAGGCAGGGGCTTATCCTGCAATAGCTGCTCCTCCTTGAGTCCAAGACTCGACAAAACATCTTCACCGCCGGTCCATTTGCTGGACGAACACTCATGATGGCGTTGTATCCAGCAATGGAGTACCTGTCGCGAAAAATACTACAAGTCTGGTGCGCGGCGTGATACGCCGGTGAAACTTGGCAGCAAACTAAATTGGACGACGGGGAACACGATGGAACTAAAATCAAACCTGTATCAGGCAGCGCAAGAGATGAAAAAGGCGACTGAACATACGCTAACTTGTCGGCGGCCATACTCCCAGCTCTGTAGGCGCAGCGCGCCCGCACAAACGCGGATACGAAAGTTCATCTTCTATTTTCGTGGCAATAGTCACGACCAAGCTTGTCACTGACGTCTTCAGGTCACATTTGAATATCCCGCGTGCCAAGTACTGCACGCTCTGGCCGCGACTGGCATTCTGCCGTACTGGCCTTTTGTGCCATCATTTCAGCTGGTTGCTAGGGAATCCAGCGACAAGCGTGGAGGTCACGTGGCACGGCACTCTGACATCGCTACACACACACACACACACACACACACACACAACCCCCCCCCCCCCCCATGTACACACACACACACAACCCCCCCCCCCCATGCACACACACACACACACACACACACACACACACACACACACACACACACACACACACACACACACACACAAACTCCTTACCTTGCCGTTGACGGTCACCCATGGTGTGTAGGTGTGCGGTGGTTCTAGAGCCATGGTCTTGTTGTGAGCGGCCAGCTCAAGCGTGTGTCCCAGGTCACTGCCATGGCATTCATACACTTGCTGCCACTCAATGTTGCTCTCCTTTGCGCACTGCTCGGCCGTCTTGATAGTCTGCTTGTAACCATGTGCCTCCGTGCACACAACATATGGCCACCACACAGAGCTGGATTGAGAGAGAGAGAGAGAGAAAGAGAGAGACCGGCACACCGACACACACACACACCAACACACACGAATGTGCAAAGGACAGAAGAGAGGCAAATAAGAAAAAAACGACTGATGCAGGCCATCCAGTACAAGGTAGAAGTAGAACAACATATGGAGCAATGTTGAATGCAAAGAAAACGTTTGTCCTCAAGGGGCGGGTTCGATTGCACATTTGGGCCCAGGTTTTATAATTCTCGAATGAACATAATGAACGGATTGCGGCCATGTAAACGAACGACTACACGTAAAAATCGCAAAAGGGGATCACGTGGGATCCCGTGCATCCTCGCGCGCACGTGGACCTAGCATGGCGTGATACGTCGAGTGCGTCAATTCTGGAATTAGTAATTTTGGAATTAGAAATTCCGCCCTCTCTTCAGAGTTGACGGAATTGGAATTGACGACGGAATTTGTGTAATCGAACGGTGCATCCACCATAACTAATTCTAGAATTGACCGAAATGTGTGTAATCGAACGCGCCCAAGGTGACCTTTATTCAGGCTGGCCGTGTTAGTGGTAACACCAAGAGTCCATAAACAAGAGTGTGCAACGCCACATAGATGTCTGTCACGACTCGTTTTCAACATTACGTCATTTTCATGTAGCTGCGCGTGCAGGCCGCGACATTCGCTGGATGAAAATGTACATGAAAATGACGTAATGTTGAAAACGAGTCGTGACAAGACCCTATCGCGCGTTGCACACTCTTGTTTATGGACTCTTGGCAACACTCTTTAACACTCTCTACAGCTCCAAGGACCGCATTCCTACTTCCTATAGAACCGGTGACAATCACAAGGATGACCAAGTAGTGAACCAGATGAGAAAGATCCCAGACAAGTTCTTCGTGCAGCATCGGACTGAGCTCAAACCACCAGAAACTGACGTTTTCGCCAGTTCGGGGTACAGTAAACCTGGTTTAATCGACCACCCCACGGTGCAAGCAAAAGCGGTCGTTAAAGCCAGGTGGTCTTTAGATCCAGGTCCCACAGTTTCCGCGTAGAACTGTCCGTGCATGGAAAAACGGTCGTTAAGAGCAGGTGGTCGCTAAACCCAGAGGTCGCATAAACCGGTTTTACTGTGCCACGGCTTTGGCTCATCAGGTCTCGCACCCAGCGACAATTGCCACCCAAATTGGGGCTCGAACCCACAACCCTGAGATTAACAAACCCCGAGCGCGCAGCGCAGCGCCAAAAGAGACCTCGCAGAGGTCAAAGGACCACGGGCGAGCCGGGGACGCAGTACTGCGCTGGCTCACTTCAACACGAACGAGCAAACAGAACTAGGGAACAAGCAGCTGCACAACAAATACAGCGCTTCTTACATATCCTTGTTGTAGTGCATAACACACGCCTCAATGGTGTTCATCACACACTCAATAGGGCCGTGCTGGCACTCAAAGCGGTTGTTAACCAGCTTTGCATTGCCCCAGGGTACGAAGTCGAGCGTCATGATGGAGCTCAGCTGCACGTCAAAAGTCAAAAACACGAACAAACACACGTACACATCACACACACACACACAAACATGTAGACACACGCATGCACATGCACACACACACACACGCACACACACACGCACACACGAACGTGCGCGCGCACGCACACACACACACACAAACATTTCAGGCATCACTATTTAGGGATCACGTGGACAGATCTGCATGGTGCAGGTCACAAACACGGACACTTAGCGAACAAACTTCGTTGTGAAAATGTCATGAAAATGTCGTGTTAGGAGAACTTAAAAGTTATGACTGTGATGTGCGCGGCAGTCCGTGTTTCTTGCTTACCCTTTTTCTGCGAAGTCATTGTCGTCAACCATAAGTATATAAACCGGAGTGTGCAGTTCTGCATCAATGCTACATAAAACCGATCCCACCTCTAAGTTTTCGTTTTGTTTAGATCATTATGGATCATAGAAAATCCGTCATACCAGTCCTGGCAGTAGTAATAGGTGCAGTGCTAAATCACCGTATCACCAAGGTGATGACGGGAAATTCGCGTGCGTTTTACAACAAAAAAACTATTTACTTCGTTGTGGGATGATTCTCCCGGACCTGCAGTCCTGCACACTCTGGTTTATGTACTCTTGCTAATAGCAGTAAATACGGTATGATTGCTAGTAAAAAAAACCATCTCCATTATAGCATCCATTGGGCATGCCTGCCCGGCCATTTAGTTCTGATCTGCTATATAAAATACCGTAAACCAAAACAAAAAACAACTGCATGCAGTGGAGATTCTCGATATTTTTTTTGGGTGGGGGGTCAAAACATTCGAAGGCGCAGCGCCACGCTATGCGCGTTTTTGTAGGCTACAGCCCTGCACACTACACTGGGCACTCGAACAAATAGCACATATCCGACAAAGTGAATCCTGAAAATGATTATGTCCATACCTCTTTCACGGCTTTGTTCATGGTTGTCTCAGCCAGCTGGTCACATCCCGGACACAGCGCTTCGGAATAGAACCCGACAGTGACCTTTTCGGCGCCCTGGGAGGCGGCAGCCGCAACCAGCGAGAGGAAAACGAAAGCAAGGGCAGCCATGACTGAGATACGCAAGAAGAACCTTGGATGAACCTGGTCCGTTTGGCAAGCTCTTGTGAAGTGCAACAGTGCTACAGGGAAAGAAAAGGAGCTTCGCCACATCGGCTGTGACGCTGGTTCAAAGTCGAGTCGAAGCAGTTCGCTTTGTGCGATGTCGCTGGCCCTTCCTTTTACACAGTCGTGCATCACGTGCAGATGTCACGTGTCAGGCGTGAGGCTGCTAAATAAAGCCGAGACAGGAGTACAGGGAGTCGTACAAATACGACCCCCCCCCCCCGCGCAAAAGTACTCAGGCCCTGATTTCAGTCTTCTCGAGAAATGACTCGTGACATTGTCATTGACAAGCCCCAGGCCGCCCCCAGAGCATTGAAAGGGCGATCGCAGAAGCCCCAAAAGAAATACAAAAATTAATAGCAAAGACCCCCCAAAGTGCAAGATACGATTTCCATACAGTCTGTCATATGCATCATGCCATGTACACGTATACTAATAATAGTATACCGTGACTGGGTACTAGATACAGTACATAATGCAAGCCTACGAGTACACATACTGACATAGTACACACTAGTACTGATCCCAGCAATGGCCAATGCCAGATACTGTACATGTATGCCAAACATCACTATAATGCTACAGAACCACACTGCATGCCTGCTGTTCCTTAGATTCGCAGTACCTAAAACAGGATCACAGTGTGTGCACACAATCATGTACCGTAAAGTACCGTTGATCCGCCCCCTCTCTAATCCCCCCCCCCCCCCTGTCGATTTTCTGCCTTTGAAGCGCGGACTTCGGTGTATACAACGAAATACGATGTTGAACTGACGCATGCACTGCTGTACACAATCTGTGCCAATCCAGGATGAAAATGTGCACAATCCTGCACATCGAGTCTAATCCTCCGAGTTGTTGTACATCGTACTGCACTGGACAGCATTTTATCTAATTCCCGCCCCCTGCCGAAAAACCAGCTGGGAAGCGACTTGGCGTGGGGGCGGATCAACGGTACATGTACGTATATACACACACACACACACGCACACACGCACACACACACACACACATGCGCACGCATGCACGTCCGCCCGCCGACAGGCATTGTTTCAACTCCTTAGTGAAGCGAACAGGGTCAACGTTTTTATTTGTTGTTGCTGAAAAACAAAATTATTTACTTTTACAAGTCCATGATTTCAACAGCCACATGACCCCCGTGGAAACTATGCACTGCATGCTCATGCGATAATGGCACATTGCAATCATGCATCTACCATAGAGATGTAGACATCAACAACAAGGCAAGTGCGGCATGCGTGTGTGTGTGTGTGCGTGTGTGTGTGCGTGTGTGTGTGTGTGTGCGTGTGTGTGCGTGCCGGTGTGCATGCACGGTGAGTGCAGAGAGAAACATGACAGCAGCCTCGGAGTTACCATGGTTACAAGAGAATCGGAGAGTCGCGGATCAAGTGAAATAGGATGTCATACAAGACGCATGTGCCCATGGAGTTAACGTTAAAATCATACCCTACAGCCATGAAGTCTTAGTTCTAGGAGCTAGTGGTTGAAAAATGCATTCTGATTCAGGATTACAGCGGCACGCGTGGCACTAAAGTCATGACCGGACTATTCTCGAGGCTCGCCGCTGCGTCACATGATGTACATGTAATACACCCATTAATATAATGAATGCAAGGTCGACGAGAAAAAACGCTATTCTTCTTATTAGCAGCTCATGAAGTTATAATGAGAGATCGCGGATCAAGTGATGATATTATGTTATACAGATTATCATGTTCTCAGTCATAGCATGATGGGACGAGGCGTCAGGCCAGTATGCGGCATGCGTTGGGTCACAGGCGAGGGCGCACACGCTAGCCATCACAACCCTCTACTACGCGACGCAATCTCCATTCAAATAGCTAGCAGTGCAGTCAGCGGTCACCAGTGAGCGACTCACTAAGTGGAGTGATGAGTGATTGCGCGCGCGCGCGCGCGTGCGAGGCCAGTGGAAGGCAGGCGGCTGCGGAGCGTGTGTACACTACGTCCACCGTGTGTGTTACTTGAACAACGTGTGTGCGCTCTCTCTCTCTCTCTCTCTCTCTCTCTCTCTCTCTCTCTCTCTCTCTCTCTCTCTCTCTCTCTCTCTCTCTCTCTCTCTCTCTCTCTCTCTCTCTCTCTCTCGGCTACATCTATTCCAGTGCAGGCCAGCCAGCCAGGGCGGGGTCAACCGGTAGCCATGGTTTCTCCTCGCCGCCGTCGTGCGGTCGTCAACGACAACCGCACGCCGCCGCCTCCAGGTCGGCCAGTGTCTCCAAGCTCGTGCTCGTGCTCTCCTCGTGGTAGTGGACGGTGAGGAGGTGAAGCGGCTTGAAGCCCACCGCAACGCATTCGGTCTGCGGCTTCGGTCGCTCGTCACCTGTGCACAACAACAGCAACAGTTCAGAAAAATGGAAAACAATTGCAGGGTTCTAGGGAAAGAGGGTTAGGGGGGGGGGGGGCGCAGCGTCCCCCTGATCTGTTTGCGCATCCCCTGTGAAAAAGTGCCCCCCCACTCTTTGCCTGTTTTGTGTTTTGTTTCATGCCATTCAACGAAATGCAGTCCGATAATCACTACTATAGAGTTCATAAAGGCACATTTGTCTTGGGTGAAGTTGGGGGTTCGCCCTGCACGTTGCATGTTGGCATGGCAAGACAATTTTGGATAATGGAAAAATGTGTTACGGGGTACTGTATTTTCACAAATTTTCGGTGTACTTTTATTTTCGGTACTTTCGGTGCGTCTGTTTCATACCTAAAATTTCAATACACCGAACAAACACTAACACGCATAATCCAATAGGGAACTGCTTCTCTGTACCTACAATTTCTGTTCACCTAACCTGGCCTTTTGCCCTCATACCGAAAATACTGAGCACCGACAATTTCTGAAATTAGAGTAACTGCTTCCCATATCTTCCCCCCCCCCCCCCCGCTACTATTTTGACCTGGCTAGAACCCTGAATTGGCAGAGCCGCAATCAGCCCAAAAGTCAATCGAACGGGAATATTCATCATCCAAACATCGATAATTCAAACAGCAATCATCCAGGCATCGATAATTTTTTTTTAATTTTTACAAGATCGCCACAAACCATCATGGTGCAAATGCCGGCAAAAACGCACAGGGATAATCTAATATGATAATCTAAACATCGATCATCCAAGCATCGATAATTGAAACAGGTACACCGCCACACCGCCATACCGGCACACCCGAATCAGCACTGTATCAGGAAATGTTGTACACTCTTCACGACCAATGATTGGCTGGTGTCTATGGTGATTCTAGTGTGACGTGCGATGCATGAGCGCACGGGAAGGTTAAAATAAAACGGCTACATGTGATATCTCTCCTCCATTGCAGTGTGTGTGGGGGGGGGGGGGTGCGTGCGTATGTGTGCGTGCGTGCGTGTGTGTGAGACATGCTCTGCAGTGGCTTACCTTGCAATTCGGGTCCAGCCGTGTCTTCAGACTGCGATGCTGAGCACAAGAAAGACCGATTCACGGAAACCAGAGCAAAGCGATATTTGCACCTTGTCATAGTGATGCATTCTAAAAGCAAGCATATTTCACCAGGGTAGTGGCCCTAGTGGATAAGTATGTTCATTCACAAACCATGGCAGGGGCGTCGGACACGGTACGGTCACTACGGTATTCACCGTACCACTCTTTGCCCCAAGTACCCCGTGATTCAATGAAGTACCCCATGAATCAATGAAATGCACTGATCTGGGCTCTAATTTGCCAAAATATTTGGCTCAGCCATCCCCCCCCCCCCCCCCGGAGTAAATTGTACTTGAGATGGCTGACCGTACGACACTAAAATACCTTCCGACGCCCCTGTGTTGTTTGCTTGTTTTTCAACCTTACTCCATACAGTCTGCTCAAGCTACACGATATAGTGCACCGCGTATGTGTCTATACACACACACACACACACACACACACACACACACACACACACACACACACACACACACACACACACACACAAACACGTGTTTGTGCACGCGTAGGCACTCTCACCTCGTTGGGTTCGAGACATGCGAGACTTTTGCTTCCAGACGGCGGCTAGAGTGGCGTGTGTGGACGCATTCAAGTAGTCATGGAAAGGCACCTTGCACCTAACAACACGGAGATACGACAGTTTAATTAAAGGGGAAGTTAAGGCAAAAATTAAAATTTCACCAGTTGTAGTCTTCGGGGTGCTGAGTCGAATGGTCGTGGTCCGAGGAAGCTGAGACGCTCCCTTCCTACTTGAATCCCAATCGAACTCGCGCACTTCCACCGAAACTGGGTGACTGCGCCCTACTAGATGGGGATTTGTATGCAAAATGTCACTAAAAGCGCCATTTCGTTCTTATAAAAGCATGGATGACCGCGATTGGTCCATATGTTGTAGTCTTTTGGACGCTGAGTCGATTGGTTTTGGTCCGAAAAGGCTGCGATGCAGCGTTCCTCCTTTATTCCCAATCGAACATGGTTGAACAAGCGGTCACGTGCTCCTGCGTACGCCAGTCACCTGGTCACCGTGCCTGCTGGGTACAACTTACTAGCCTGTTTGACCTTTTGTGGGTGCAGTCCTGTCACTGGAGTTGAACTCGAGTTGAACCTTGGTGTGAAAGTTGTCGCCTGCTGGCGTGGTGACCAGGTGATTTGGGCACCCAGGAGCACGTGACCGCTTGTTCAACCATGTTCGATTGGGAATAAAGGAGGAACGCTGCATCGCAGCCTTTTCGGACCAAAACAAGTCGACTCAGCGTCCAAAAGACTACAACATATGGGCCAATCGCGGTCATCCGTGCTTTTATAAGAACCAAAATTAATGGCGGTTTTAGTGACATTTTGCATACAAATCCCCATCTAGTAGGGCGCAGTCACCCAGTTTCGGTGGAAGTGCGCGAGTTCGGTTGGGATTTAAGTAGGAAGGGAGCGTCTCAGCTTTCTCGGACCAAGACCATTCGACTCAGCACCCCGAAGACTACAACTGGTGAAATTTTAATTTTTGCCTTAACTTCCCCTTTAAGACACGTCCACACACAGACACACACACACACACACACACACACACGCGCATGCACGCACACACGCACACATACGCACACATACACACCAGTGTCTGCTCCAGCGCCGGGTGAGCCGGGTAATCCACCCGGTTGGGCGGCGCTTGAACCCGGTTGAAAATATAGTACCGGGTCATCTGTGACCCGGTTGGTACTTTACACTTTCGAACTTTGAAAGGACTGACTACATGGCTTGTATGTGTCAGACTCCAATACTTCTTCTTCTTTCGTAATTTTCTAATTCCTGTCCTCTCTTTTCTAAATGCGGCTTATCCATTCGCCTTTATATCATTGTGCCTAGTTCCCATTTGTTGTCCGAATTAAAACAAACCAACCAACCAGTTGAAGCATGTGACTCGGCTGGTGAGACAGGGCCAGGTACATGTGTACCCGGCTCCGACCCGGTTGAAATGGTTGCGCCAGGTACACGTGTACCCGGCTGTCCTACAAGCCTAGAGCAGACACTGCACACACACTCACGCATGCATGCACGCACGCACGCACACATGCACCCATACAGACAAAAAGCACATACCCCACACAAACACACATGCTGTACAACGACAATGATGTTGATGTGGAAAACTGGAAACACGACAAGTTCTTCTCTTACGCATTCGAGACCAATTTGCCCCTGCCCATGTCATCAGGCACAAACTCACTACAAGTACATTGTGCTCGTATTATCATACACAAACCTAAACATGAAGCGTCTGCGACATGAGCACCCCCCCCCCCCCCTCTGGTCCCATGGGTCCTTCCCCCTGGTCACCCGCTCCCCTGATCACCCGTTCCCATGGGTCCTTCCCCCTGATTCCCCGTTCCCATGGGTCGTTCCCCCCGATCCCCTGTCCCATGGGTCGTTCCCCTGATCCCCTGTCCCATGGGTCGTTCCCCCCGATCCCCTGTCCCATGGGTCCTTCCCCTGATCCCCCGATCCCATGGGTCGTTCCCCTGATCCCCTGTCCCTTGGGTCCTTCCCCTGATCCTCCGATCCCATGGGTCGTTCCCCCTGATCCCCTGTCCCTTGGGTCCTTCCCCTGATCCCCGATCCCATGGGTCGTTCCCCCCGATCCCCTGTCCCATGGGTCCTTCCCCTGATCCCCCGATCCCATGGGTCGTTCCCCCTGATCCCCTGTCCCTTGGGTCCTTCCCCCTTATCCCCCGTATGTACTTACATTCCATGGCAGATATTTAACGGGATCATCTGCGGCTGGATGATGTTGTTGCGGAACTTGTCACTCGGCACCGAGTACTGGAACAGCTGACAACTGCGGCGTCGTTTTGGCAACCAGGACTGCCCCGGCGCCCAGCTCAGGTCGGCATCGTCGGAGTCTGAGGAGCGTCGTCTCCGCTCCGCACTGTGTTCCAATTCCTGCAGTGTGAAGTGCAGGCGCACACAGCAAACACCATGGTGATCGCTATTACATCACATGACTATAACCATGGAGACAGCCAATCACAGGGGATACGTGCACACAGCGAACACCATGGTGATCGCTATTACATCACATGACTATAACCATGGAGACAGCCAATCACAGTGGATACGTGCTCACAGCAAACCCCATGGTGATCGCTATTAGGTCACATGACTATAACCATGGAGACAGCCAATCACAGAAGGCGCACACAGCAAACACCACGGTGATCGCTAATACCGTTTCAGTACTTGATAAGTACTTTCTGGAACTGTTAGCGAGTATCGAGTACTGTATAAGCAGAAATATTCGTCTGGAAATTAATTTCGTCTTTTTCGTCCAAGGAGGTTTTGGACTAAATTAAATGCCGGACTAATGTTGATTTGTCCACCCTTTCTATACACTTGTATGATCCATGGACAAAATTTACAACCAGACCAACTCCCTTTCTTTGGAGTTGGACGAAATTATTGACCGACGAAATTTTCTGCCTGTACAGTACGACCCTAACACGTCAGTGGCACGTAATCGGCATGCTCCCTTCACTCCTGGCAAACTTCGCCTACCCCCTACCTGTCTATGAAGGTATTCAATGCCAGCTTCGCTGAGCTCAAGTTGCTCCTCGTCATCAGCGCCGTTGTTCCGAATCAGTGTGAGCACAGGCTGACGGTCCTCATCAACCAGCATTGCATGCAGGTCCAGAGGAGAAGACCGTTGCTCGCTTTCCTCCGCATCATCATCATCATCTTCGGCGTAACGGCTAACAATGAACGCCGAGAAAGCCAGCTCATTCAGCGCGGCGGTTTCACCCGTGGTGGTGACGGTTGCAGTCGTTTCTGAATCGCTAATGAACGCTTGCCACACCTGAACAACATTGGAGAAGCACAGGAGCAAAACAAAGCAAAAAAGAGTATATCAGCTCATTGCGCATTGCCGAATATGGAAGGCGTGAGTAGTACCAGGGGCGTCGGAAGGTATTTTAGTGTGGTACGGTCAGCCATATGAAGTACAATTTACTCGTGGGGGAGTGGTGGCTGAGGCGAAAATTTTGGAAATTTAGATCCCAGATCAGTGCATTTTATTGATTTACAGGGTACTTGGGGCAAATAGTGGTACGGTCAATACCGTAGTGACCGTACCGTGTCCGACGCCCCTGAGTACATGTGAGTACGCTGGGATCGGGAATGTACTGCTCAACACCCTACACAACCATGTCCAGGTGGCTGTGTGTGTGTGTGTGTGTTTACGGTGCAGATCACAACATCGTGAAAAGGGTAGTATTGTTTCCGCTCCCGAGGGAACTCACGACGACCGCTGACACACAGTATATCCAGCGGAAGATGCAACGTCTAGCGGTGGGGGTGAGTACACAAAACAAAAATATTGTTTGCCATTGTGATTATCATGGCAACAAAGGGAATAAGCTGAATCGACATGTCAACACTTTCTTCATACGAATAAAGTACATGTGGTGAATTCTGCTTGCAATGATAGGATGAGCCGACGTCGAAGGATCAAAAAGCAACATCACTATGAACGCTTGGCTGCCACAAGCCAGTTATCCCTATGGAAATTTATGTACTGGCATGTTGATTCAGTTTTTTTTCTCTTGACTCGTTACAAAATTGCTGTCTCCTCTCCGTCTCCTTACAGGTGTGCCTATATGTCAGTCGTTTTAGTTACCAGCCATATCGGTCATCAAGGAGAAGTTACACTTGAGCTCATATTGGGTGTCATGAAAAGGGGTGAGGTGCACCCAAGAAGGGGTGGGTGTCCCCAAGAAGAGGTGGGTTCCCGAAAAAGGTAGGCTGCCCACAAGAAGGGGTGGCAGCCCCTCCTCAAAAAGGTGTGGTGCCCCCAAGAAGGGGTGGGGGCCCCCAAGAAGGGGTCCAGTGCCCCTGACAGTGATGCGGACACAAGTACAGAGTATACACTGGTGCAGCGACTGTCCCCGAGAGCACCGTTTGTACCTGCAATGCCGTCGTCATGTCGACCGACAGCCAATTACCACGCGGCAGGTTGGACAGCGGGAACGACTTGATCAGCGTCTGCAGGCGGCGTGAGCCACGCTGCAGATCCAGCTCAAACTGCAGCAGGAGATTGCCGACGAGAGCGTCATCAGTGACGTTGAGACCCTGCCACCAGAAGTCAAGGTACGCTGATTGGAAGTCGACGGGTCCGTTTCTGTTGCTACGTTGGTTGCGGAGTTTGAAGTCGAACACATCCAGTGCCTGATGACCGCCACCATCTCCCCAGAGCGTTTCCGCACTCCTGCCGTCGCCGGTTGGGACGACGTCCGAAGACCGGAGCGATGTCACTGTGAGCAGGGGTGCATTGTGAACACGCACGCACGCAAACACACATGCATGCACATGTACAATCAGACATGTACTCACACACACACACCATGCACACTTACACACACACATGCATGCAAACACACACACACACACACACACACACACACACACACACACACACACACACACACACATACACACACATACACAGACAAACACATACACAGACAAACACATACACACACACACACACACACACACACACACACACACACATATATATATATATACACAGACAAACACATACACAGACAAACACATACACAGACAAATTCACAATGATACAGACACAACACATATGAACGCACACACGCACGCACAGATACACACGCAGAACGGTTCTCAAATATTGTATTTCAGGCAATTGGAACAGGTCAACTGCTGCTGCTGCTGCTGCTTTCTGCGTCGTGTAAACCTTTCACCGAACCACAGTCCATCCAACCAAATCGTAGAGACGCCACAAATGCATAGTACGTTGCAGACACCACCTGTACACAAGGGCCACTTTTACATAGGGACCACCTTTGGGAGACCCCTTGAGTGGTCAGCAAAGACCGACTGCAATGTGCTCAAATCTCTCAAAGTCACGGTTCGGCTCTAGTTTGCATCACTATAGACCACATTCACACTAAAGTTCTAGCTACTAGTAGCAGTACATGTGAAGACCTGAGATGCCAAACCCGCTGATCGCCAAACTTCAGCTCAGTGTAATCAAAAGGTCTCGCAGCGCCACATGGCAAAAGTTGACTTGAAATCTGACTGGAACCATTTCAAAACGCTGCAAAACTGGAACCCAAATTTGGATTTAGATACAAACCGCAAATAAAATGAATCCTTTTCTGGCCATTATCCGGAACGTGATGGAGTGGATTTAGAAGGTTTTGCATTCCAGATCTTGATGCGTTTTATACTACGCCAGATAGCAGACAACCGGCCACTCTACTTGTCAAGCAGGCTGCTTACCGGTTCCGGTGAAGAAAACCGCGCTTGCGCCTTCGTTCAGCTGAGACTCTTCGCGCTGGAATGGCTGCCAGATCTCCTGGTCGTCCGTGCTGGGCACGTCGATCGGATCGGTGACGTCGTTGTTCCGTGAGAACATGACCTCGTCGTCATCGCCGTCGGCATTCGACGAGGCAAAGCGGAATCGCGCCGCATGGGGAGATGCCATGGACGCGTAGCGATAGCCAGCACCGTCTTGGACACGATTGTAGAGTAGCTTGACGTACTCAGGTATGCTTGCCTGCGCCGCCGCCTGATTGGTCTGGTCGTTGCCCAGGGCAGCAGAACCAGCGTCTGAGTCACTGGCAGTGCTGGAAGCAAGAGGAAGCACAGAGCAGAATCATTACAATGCGCTGCCAAGGGTCGTAAAATCGGTACCCCCCCCCCCCCCCACACACACATACACTTCATGGGCCCACTGGTTTTTATTCCAATCTTTTTTGACCAAAATTAGGCAACGCTTCCGACACAAATGTATTGCAGAAAGTACTAGTGCATCAGGTATCCACCGTAGTACTAAACTAGTACAGTGTACCTGTATCCACAAGGTTCCTACATCAACGTAAAAGAGGTAAAAATGATACGGAGAACAGAGCTGCCAATAGGCCTCCGCGGAATGTGCCGGCATAATTTCGGGAATTATCGGTGTGATTTTTAAAACGGGAATTATTGGCAATTTTTGTGGAATAATCGGTAAAATTTGAGCAATGCCACCCCCCTTTTTCAATTTTTTTTCCATTTTATAACACCCTGATTTGTACCAAAAGCTTGTAATCCTGAATGAGTTGATCGCCCGCGGTATTTCAAAAAAGAAAGAAAAAAAGCTTCCAGCCGAGTTTCACGCGAACCGTGATTTTTTGCCCGTACAAGTGGCAAAAAAACCGTACGCAGTACGGTATCTGCAAAAAGGGAAGAAAAAAAGCATTATTGTGAGAATTATTGGTGGAATTACGGGAATAATCGGTCGAACATTTGAGCAATGCTCAAAGGAATTATCGGTAAAAATACGAGCATATTCCGCGGAGGCCTAGCTGCCAACCAACGGTTACGTTGCAACTGGGTCTGTTTTCCGTACTGCGCCTTTGGAAAACCATAATTATGTGACTTGCACCACGATTTGATTTTTCTTGCTACGTACGTGTAGTCAAAGAACGGCATACACTCGCTTTGACACAGGGATATGCATCATTGAGATTGCGCTTGCCATGCTTATGCATACAAATTCGTAGCCGATCGATCCTCTTCAATTTTCCGTGTCATTTTGCTCTAATTCCGAAGTGCGGACGAAGGAGTGATTTTCCGCACAAATACGGAGAAATACGGAAGGCTGGCAGCATTGTCACTGGTCCGACAAGCACACAACTGTACCGACACACACTTACCACAAAGCGACCTTCGCCAGGAAAAGCACAGCCAATGCAGCCGCCGCGACTGCCGACAGGTGGAGTTGTGACAGCTTCGTCATCCTCGCTAGCGAGTGCTTGTAGTACAATTAACTAGCGGCTGCAAGACAGGCAGCCCTCTGCGATGACCTTTCCGTTCGGTTAGGGAGGCTCTTGTAACAGTTGGGACGGATTGACTGTGCGACGGCGAGCGACCGTAACAAAATTCTCGTCCCGGAAATTTCTTCTGACTGATCTTGCCGGATCGCGTGCCCCGTGGGTCGAGTTCCTCAGCAGGTCGGGTTGGCGTGAGCTAGCGGTCTTCGCACCATGAGCACCAAGGCCAAGTCGCCTCTACTTCAGTCCAGGCAAGCTCCTTCAGCTCGGGCAGTAGGAAAACCCGTGAGAGGCACAGATACCAGAAGACTAGCAGTGCCCACCACTGCAGCGTTCTAACTTCCGCAAGTCCGCTGTCGGCGGGTCCGATGCGCTGTCACTCATCTAGTTGTTGTTCTTGACGAATCCCGGAGCTGGCCACTTGGCCGCTGGAGCTGCGTTAGTGGCGGTACACATGTATCAGTAAGACAGACAGTTCCCTGACTCAGTGACTGAGGGGCTCGACTCCAGTCGGTGTTGGTGGTGGTCACAGGTGGTGATGGACGTGGCAGTGGTGCTGGCAACACAACGACGTTACGAGCGACCAAGGTAAGCTCCGAAACAAAGAATTTTCTTCTTTTTAAATGTGAGTGTCTACCACTGACTTTCGAGTTGAATGTCGCTTCGACACAGTCGTCTGCATGCTGTCGGAAAAAGTCTGCCTTGAAACGATGCAGTCAACGTTGTGCCAATCACGGACTTCCTGCCAAAGTAACAGAGGCAGTAGTTGCGTGGGACACTGTCGCTTTACCGTGTACGCGACGACGTGTTAACATGTTGTCCGAGTGAATGCAATCATTTTTATTGTAAAAGATGCATCAATGCATTCTTTGCATGCTCACACTCCGCACGAGCAACGCTCGGATCGTAATCAAATCACGGAAGCTAGTAAGTTTGTTGCTTTGGCTTTGTGGTTCGAAGGTGGGTTAGAGGCGTGAACCATGGTGAACGACTGACGTTTTTGGGAGCATATCGGATCCACCTGTAGCTATAGCTTTCCTCCCCCGATCATGCTAGCTGCCATGTGCGGAAAACCACCATTCACCAGCCACGACAGAGCAACGGAGCTTGGTTGACTGAGCACACAGTGTGTAAGGTTGAAAATGAGAGCCTTTGCCAAGAGGGCCCTCAGAAATTGGCAGCCGGTTGCAAGTGGCCACTTTACAGTATTGCTGGCAGCTCTGAAGGTGACTGACTCCCTTGCAGCCAGCCACTGTACAGTCACTGACTGACTCCCTTGCAGCCAGTCACTCTACTGTACAGTGTACTGTGTGTGTGTGTGTGTGTGTGTGTGTGTGTGTGTGTGTGTGTGTGTGTGTGTGTGTGTGTGTGTGTGTGTGTGATGAGATCCTAGATTGCAGACTAGACTGCACTGGGGCCCATACTACAACTGTTGTGATAATGCAATGCACAGTTAGTAAGAGATAGCAAGGATCAAGGACGTAGCTCACAATCGTCATGCATGTACATGTATCTGTGGTGTGGTGACTGTACTAGCATATCTGTGGTGTGTGAACATGATTGTATCTATAGGCTATAATTATAGTCGCCATTTTAACCTACAGTCAACTTTGCGCATTTATACAACACTCGGCCGGGCATCAGAAAAGGGACGTTATTCGCGAAAGTGTCCTTATACCCCGAAGTCTCATTATATGTATTACAGTTAGATGGGACTTTGCTCTGGGCATGAAAATTCTGTCGTTATTCGCGAATTGTCGTTATATGCACAGTCGTTATTAGCCAAATTGACTGTACATGACATGTTCACTATGATTGTAGTACCTCAGATGATGTCAGGCATTCGCAGGTGAGGTGACCTGCAGTCTGCAGACCATGTCTATGAGCTACGCACCTGAGGCTAGGATCGGGTGTGAGCATAGTTGTCCATGGTGATTGTCTGTGTATGGTGTCTGAGCTGAAGGTGAGCCATATGCTTGTTTGCCTGTCACCAGACACAGCCATAGAATGGTGCTTGAGACCTGAATTATTACTAGTCCAGGTCCACGCTACATGTAAGTAAAAGCAAAAATAGTAGAATCCACTTAAACTTGGTTGATTAGCACACCAGCCCCCCCCCCCCCCCCCCCGTGTCCACAGACACACACAGACACACACACACAGACACACACACACACACACACACACACACACACACACACACACACACACACACACACACACACACACACACCATTGGACGCCCATCGCCGGAGGCGATGATAGCGATGCTACAGCAGAAGCCATAGCAGCTTGCGCTGGGATTGCACCATTCAACAGCTTGCAAGGCTGAAGAATTGACCGCCACTATTCAGCCTGGTCTACACCACACAGCTATGAAGTGGCTTTTTCTGGCCAGTGAATCCCTACTTTTTGGTCTTTTTCATTTTTTTACACACACACACACACACACTCCACAGCCATGGTCAAGATGCCAGGAGGAAAAGAACACACACACACACACACACACACACACACACACACACACACACACACACACACACACACACACACACACACACACACACACACACACACACACACACAGAGTACATGTCCTAAGCTAAGGTAGGTCGTTTCTTGCCAATGGCCATATGGGTGATGTGTTACTGGGATCAAGTGCAGCCAAGCAAGGCTGAGGCCAGACACGCTTGTTGTGTAAACGTCCACAGCTTGAGATCATACCAGTGCAACAGAGCTCTAGCATGCAATCAAGCAGTGTCTGCTCTAAGATTTCAAACCAACTGGGTACTAACGTTAGTATGCCAATACCTGGCACAAGTCTTGCAACCGGGTCAGAGCCCAGTACAAGCCTTCAGCCAGTCAGTCTGTGCTCCCCTGAAGAACAGTAAAGGTTCTCGACATGAATATCATGACATTGTATCCTCCCACACGGGTCACGAGTCACCGGTGTTCTTTTTTCAAACGGGTCCAAGTACACCCCCCCCCCCCCTCCCCCGACCTGGCTCTGGAGCAGACTTCTGAGGATGTATAAATTAATCCTTGGCTCTCCATCCGAGTCCAAAGAGAAAAGGACCAAGGAAATACAAGTCACACTACACTGTCCACTAACACCACCAGTTTACAAATACTGTACCTCATGTGATAACATTGCACGACATTGACCAAAGGTACTGACGTTCTACAACTACCCGTACTTGTACCTGCCAATCAGCTCTAGCATGTCTTGGATGCGCACTCCTCACAACCATGTATATATTCATTGGTTTGGGGGAAAGGATGCAAACGGAAAAGAATGTTTATGAGAAAGGATAATAAAAAAATAGCAATAAAAAATAGTAATAATACCAACAGAATTTAATCATAATGTTGGTGTGCTACTGCTACTATGATCATAACGATACAAACAATCTTGGAGACAAACGTTTTATTAACGCTACTAACAGTAGCAGTGCCACAGCTATTACCATGAAAGTGAGCGTGTCTAGAGTTTAAAAAGGCGTATACTTGTAATTGCAGAATCGATTTTCTGTTCTGGTAAGTAAAAAAGGAAAGGCTAGTATTCGAGGTGGTGATCATACATTTTGTACATGACAAAAGTGTAGAGAAAAAAACCAAGAAGTGTGAGTTTACGGGTATAAGCGTAATGCAACAACGCGTTTCTTCTGTTTACACAAATCAGGCTTATGCATACAAATACAAACAGCTTCAAACGCTTTCAACTGATTGACATAGCGGGCACGACAAAGTACAGAGAGTGCGAGTCATCATAAACACTAAGACAGTCCGGATAGGATAGCAAAACTAATGCAAGTACACAGCTGTTTTCTTACTAACAATACACTCATCTGGCTTTTCCTGCTCCTTTCCCGCCCGACTCTTGTTCGTCCATGACGATGAGAAAGTGGATGAGAACGCAGTTATTGGTGTGGCCATGGTAGAGGAGACGGATGAAGAAGAAGAAACGGAGGTAGGTTGAAGATGATGGTGATGGTGAGACTGGGCGCGGGTGCGGATGAAATAAATTACACATGCACACACACCACACACACAGAAGCGGACACGCATACATGGCTACAATCTCTCTTGCCCCCAAGCACGGCACTCTTGTGACACTGCCCATACATGGCTGTTTGAGCGCGGGCCGGGGGGGGGGGGGGGGGGCTTTGTGCTGAGTTCCTCTGATCCAGATGCGGCTATGGCCATTGCATGCACGCACGCACACAAATGCACACAAATGCACACACACACACACACACATACACACACACACACACACACACACACACACACACACACACACACACACACACACACCCGCATACACACACACACGCACACACATATTAGGAATCTGGTTCTCCTGTTGAGGGTGCTTCTTCTTCCTCTTGGTTTTTCCCGGCATGTATGTTTCCGTTCACAAGTCTTCTTCTTCTTCAGTATCGAATAAATAATAATGTATCAGCAGGCACAAACACTGCAGAATCCATGCTGCATGTGCGTGTGGTGCGCACGGGCCAATCCAAGGCCGTTTAGAAACACACGGGAATACCAGCCGCTGAGAGGTAACAGTAATGCTTGCTGCAGCTGCGGGAAACGCTCGACATTGGCAGCTGCAGTGCCGACAGCAACTACGGTGGTGCATACATCCGCGCAGCCCTGGCAGCGGATGTGTTGAACCAAAGGATGCACATGCACATACAGCAGGGCCGTCGGGAGCAGGTTGTGATTCGTCCGGCCACACCATAGCCTTTTCATACAGTTTGTGCGTGATCACAGCAGGGTAGCCGGGAGCAGGTTGTGATTCGTCCGGCCGGCCACACCATAGCCTTTTCATACAGTTTGTGCGTGATCACAGCAGGGTAGCCGGGAGCAGGTTGTGATTCGTCCGGCCACACCATAGCCTTTTCATACAGTTTGTGCGTGATCACAGCAGGGTAGCCGGGAGCAGGTTGTGATTCGTCCGGCCACACCATAGCCTTTTCATACAGTTTGTGCGTGATCACAGCAGGGTAGTCGGGAGCAGGTTGTGATTCGTCCGGCCACACCATAGCCTTTTCATACAGTTTGTGCGTGATCACAGCAGGGTAGCCGGGAGCAGGTTGTGATTCGTCCGGCCACACCATAGCCTTTTCATACAGTTTGTGCGTGATCACAGCAGGGTAGCCGGGAGCAGGTTGTGACTCGTCCGGCCACACCATAGCCTTTTCATACAGTTTGTGCGTGATCACAGCAGGGTAGCCGGGAGCAGGTTGTGATTCGTCCGGCCACACCATAGCCTTTTCATACAGTTTGTGCGTGATCACAGCAGGGTAGTCGGGAGCAGGTTGTGATTCGTCCGGCCACACCATAGCCTTTTCATACAGTTTGTGCGTGATCACAGCAGGGTAGCCGGGAGCAGGTTGTGATTCGTCCGGCCACACCATAGCCTTTTCATACAGTTTGTGCGTGATCACAGCAGGGTAGTCGGGAGCAGGTTGTGACTCGTCCGGCCACACCATAGCCTTTTCATACAGTTTGTGCGTGATCACAGCAGGGTAGCCGGGAGCAGGTTGTGATTCGTCCGGCCGGCCACACCATAGCCTTTTCATACAGTCTGTGCGTGATCACAGCAGGGTAGCCGGGAGCAGGTTGTGATTCGTCCGGCCACACCATAGCCTTTTCATACAGTTTGTGCGTGATCACAGCAGGGTAGCCGGGAGCAGGTTGTGATTCGTCCGGCCACACCATAGCCTTTTCATACAGTTTGTGCGTGATCACAGCAGGGTAGTCGGGAGCA